ATCCTGGCAAACAAGAAGAGCCGAGCCGAGCCAATAGATCCAGAAGAGACTGTCGGCGTCGGCAGCGAGTGTTGCCCGTGTCAACGCCACACGAGCGCCACACACCAGCACCTTCACTGGCAACAGCAGCTCCAGCAGCTCCAGCACCACCAGCAGCACCAGCAGCACCACCACCAGCTCCAGCAGCTCCAGCACCAGCAGCTGGCGAGAAAATGAAGAAAAAAAATTCGGATTTCGACCCAAAAAGTTATCTGTAACAATGCCAATTTCTTCGTAAGTAACTACGCATATTAACACCATAAACTGAGTATTTTGCTACATAAACTTATGACAAATCACACTAGTCTTACCTATCAATTCATTATGTTTCTTCATGAACCGATGTATTAGCTTCGTTTTCTTCAAATACTCACTGCAGAAAGTCTTTTCAAGCCGTCATTAACCTCGACGGCCCAAAGATTTCTTTGGAAACCACAGCCCTGCCCCTTGAAAACGTCTGACATTTGTGGTTGACCAAACACACACACCTCTTTGCGCAAAACCTGAATCATTTCTCGCACCATTTTCACCCCGGCCACTGATTCAGTTTTTCGCAAGCTTTTAGTCCGGCGAGATGCAGGTCACCCGCGTGTTGATGATGGCAGCCCGTTCCGTGCCGGGGCGCCAGTGGTCTGGGTACGTGGCGAGCGCGCCGTTGCCGCTGTTGCCGTCGTCCTTGTGTTGTTGTTCGTGTTGTGGAGATGGCGCTGTGGGAGGGGCTCGACCCAGGTGGTCGGGGGCGAGCCTTTGGACAAGAGGGAAAGAAAAACGGCTGGTTGTCGTGGCCTTGTTGGTCGGCACCCGAGCTGAGCTCACCACATGGAATCCGGATAGTAAAACCCGCAAGGTGTTCAAGTATGGCAAGACGCGCCGCAATAATACCTTGAAGCAGTTCAAGCAGATTGCTGAGAATCAGTCCAACATTCTCAACCCCTTTCTCTCTGCCGTGCGTTCCACGACGAGCCCATGGATCCTTGTCCCGAACCCCCGCTTCACATCGCTCCCGCTCACTCGATGGCCTTGATTGTCGCTTTTGTTTCCCGCCTGCTTGTCATTAGAGTGCCGAACACCAGCATGTGCAGCGGGCCTGGGAAAAGTAAACTCTGTATCGCCCGCATGCTAACAATGGTTGGTGGACACAAACTGCAAAACTCAAGGGATCAATTTTTGCCCTTGAGATCCTCAATCTGCACGAGGAACATCTGCATCTGACGCTTCAGCTCCCCCTTGACATCCTCCAGATCCATCTTCAGCTCCTCCGCCTCCTCTGCCTTCTCGCCGTACATTTGTAGCATGAGTTGATACCTGCCGTGCACCGCCACAACACGCGTTTTTCCAGTTGTGAGCTTCCTGCGCGCGCGAACATGTGTCGCATCATGCCGTCTCGCTCCCTTGCACCCTTCCTGGTCCAGGCCAGAGACCCATCGCGCTGCGCGCAATGACCTGGCATCTCACGCCCTGAACAGAACAAGAAGAAACAATCGATACAAAATATTTGCACATATTCATTTTTCCCAGACTCAAGCTCGCACATCACTCACCGGTTGGACAAATCGTCATATGAAGCCTTGACATCGTCCAACTGCGCTGCAGCGGCTTGAAGGTCCTCGTTCCGTTGCACCTGAAAGGTTCACCGCCGAACATGAAAATGGAAAAATGGTTTGAACCGCCAGAAGATGGCAAGGTAAAGCAAAGCAGGTGGTGCAGACGACTCCGACCCACGCACCAATTGCATGACCTCCTCGGAGAGTTGGTCACGTGCCCGGTTCAACGCCGACCTGCCATACAGCCACCAGCATCAGCACAGCCAATTTTTCGCGCGAATGAAAGAGAGACCCAACCTCGCGCCCTTCACTTCGGAAACCTCCGGGGCAAAAAAAAAAAAAAAAAAAAAAAAAAAAAAAAAACCTTACACTTGAGATCGAAGCGAGGCAAGCTCGCCCCCCGAGGAATCTTCCGGCCCCGTGCCAAATAATGGCGCTCCCCCCATGCCAGACCGAGAAAGAGAGGAGGCCACTTCATAACCTACTCCAACAAGCATGCGAAGCGCCACTATGGGTCCACACACACCAACATTTCGAAGCATACCCGTCATACACGCTTTGCCCCACGTACCAACACCAGTGCCGCCACCCGGAGACATTGGTGGTGCATCACCCCCGCCATAACTGCCAATGTCGACTGATGGGCGCTTCATAGGTGTCCGCTGTTGCATCTAGGGAAAAAATCAAAGGTGGACGTCAGCTGATGGGTCCGGTCTCGTTTCAACAAGGCATCCACATTCTACCAGTACGCTAACCTCGCCCACTTCGGTGCGATGCCTTTGCTCCAGTGCGCTCAAGGCTTGTGTGTGTTCCTCTTGGAGGCGTTGACGCTCCGCTGTCAGCCGTCGCTCCGCATCCACCTGCATCTGCTGAATGCGGCACATCGCTTCATGCAGATCTCCCTGGAGGCGCTTGTTGACTCCCTGCAGTCGAGTGCACTCTGATTGTGCCTCCTCCCACCTGATGCAAGGCCACAGAAGCAGTTTAGGTCAACCATGGATACAGCACCGCCCGCCCTGCCTCCATCCTGGCAAAAAGATGAAAATATAACGCTTACGTTTGCTTCATCGACTCGTGCTCACTCCGAAGCAAAGTCAGTTCCTTGCGAAGGCTTGCAGACTTTTCCTGCACATTCGGCGGCAGCCTGTGAGCCCCGATTCAAGACAGTACGAACCGACCATCAAACACAAGCGCGCACCTGTGCCGCCGTCAATTTGCTATTGACCAAGCCCAAGTCACTGCTGGCATCTCGCTCGCGCTCCTCAAGCACCGCCATGTGGCCTCGCAGCTGGTCAATCTGTTGCCGCAGCGTGCTTTCAACGGCCTCGGCCGCCGATTGCTGACGCGAAGCCCCCTCCTGTAAATCAGCAATCTGTCGCAGGAGCGGCTGCGTCGCCTGTTCCCCGCCCCAAGCAATAACACACCATCAAGCACAAGTCAAAGCCTGCAGCGTCACCATTCATCAATCATAGATCAAGGTCCAACAAAACGCACCGAGGTCACGCTCATGGAGAGCTCTTGCCCGCGCTCCTCCGTTTGTCTCAGTCGCTCGTGCATATCTGCTCACAAGCAGGGCACCGGCCCGATGCGGGGGATCAACAAAGTTGAACAGCAAACAACATATTTGCCCCAAACTGAGCTCAAAACACAAATCCGATGCAAACATTCACTCAGAGGACTCATAAGGTGGGAGACTGACCCTCAATATCCTGACGCAAACGTGCTTCCTGACGGCTTGCGTTGGCCTCGGCCCGCGCCAATGCAGTGTGGAGATCATCAATTTGCGCTTGATACTCCGCAGTCAGCAAGGAAACTTCGTTGGACTTTTGTTCAAGCTGCCCCTGCAGGTCGGCCTGCGCAACGGCTTGCGCGTCTGCGCGCGCATCCTGCAGTTGAAGGCTCAAGGCTTCCTTCTCCTGACGAAGACTCTCTTGCTCCCGGAACGCTAAAGCCGACCACACAAACGCCAGTGGCATACGACATGAGCCATCGTCCAAAACCCAAAAAAAGAAAAAGAAAAAAAAAAGAAAAAGAAACGCTTCCAGCCAGGATCATACCTTTGTCCAACGAGCTCTCAAGCGTGCTGATCCGCTGTTGTTGCTCTGTAGTCTGCTGCTCCAGCGCATGCAGTTTCTTGCTTTGTGCGGCGTTCAAAGAAGATACCTCGGTCGTAGCCTAGAAATGCCAACATGCGATCAGCGGCTCCGTGATCTGCGAGAGCACCAGCACCTGCCGGGTCGCTGAAGGGAGGGGAAGACAAAATGTTGCAGAATAGCTGTCCGCACCTTTTGATAATCCTTTTCTGCCCGTTTTTTCTCCTCGAGACGTTGGGTCAGCTAGCGCAAAGTCCAAAGAGCATGAGCCACGGAAATAGACCACATACTCGGCATCTGCAGTTGGACCGTACCTCGCCGACTTTCTGTTCACTCGTTGCAAGCTTGTTGGACAAAGTAGACACAGACTCCTCCAATTCCTAGAATAAACCCATGAGTCCCGAAAAGGAGTATTTGATGCCCTCGGCCATGCAGCTTTTACAATTACCTTATTTTTCTTTTGCAGCTTAATGTTGATGTTGGACGATTTGTGGCGCTGGTCCTCAATGCGCTTTGCCTCCGCCCGAAGTGCCTCAAGCATGGCATCCTTTTCCTCGATGGTATCCTGCATGGCCTTTTGCGCCTTGGTCGCAGCTGAAGTCGACGTTTGCGTGATCTATGACAATTTGGTTGTGCCGAGACCTACAAGATGAGCTCAACTGGGATGCGCTTTTGAGCCGAGATATGGATGCTGAAGAAGATACGCACATGCTCATACTGGGCCCGAAGGGTGTCACGCTCGCGCACGACATCGCGGAGCTTGTTTTCCAAAGTGGACAGTCGCGAGGTGAACTCCTGGGTTAGTGCCTCCAACTAGAGATCAAATCCATGAACAAGTGAGGCCGATGGGGAGTCCAGGTATTACATCAATCTACCAAGTTTTCAAACCTCAGATTGATGGTCCTGCTCCAATTGGTCCTCCAGTTGATCATTCTAGACAAAATATAAGAGAGAAAGGGGGGGGGGGGGGGGGGGACAGGTTCTTAGGTTAGTCACAAGGCGCGAGGAAAAGTGGGGCGAGATAAAAGGGCAAGATTGGTCCAAGCATGCATACCTGGCTCTGCAGCACGGCCACTTTCTCGCGCAAATCCTCGCACTCTTGGGTCAGAAGCAGCAATTTCTATCATAAAAGGGCGCGGTTGCAAGCACAGTGAGCCACTTTGCACGGCGTGGTATGCATGGCAAGGTATCGAGAACAATGGGGAGACGCAGAGGTGCACACGGCATTATGCACCTCTTCGCGGGCGTTGAGCTGAATGGCAAGATTGGCCACTTTCTGTGCATATTGGTGGGCCACTGAATCAGCTGTGGCGTCGACTGGAAGGGATACGGGCGCAGTGTCGGGGACACTCGACGATGCACTAGCTGGCAACTGATTCTCATCAACTTCCTGGCCCGGTGGTGCCTCGGTTGCGGGGTCTTCAGCTGAGAGAGGAAGCTGCTGAGTTGCAGGAACGTCATATTGTTCGGAGTCTTTTGCATCTGCTGTAGCCTCGACGCGCACGGCGGAGACGGTGGGATAATCCAGAGCAGGATTGCTCGGCAGCCGAGCGGGAGAAGTGGACGCCACCGGCTGTTCTGGATCTGCTGTCGTATTCAAGGAGGGACTGTCGTCCACGTCCAAATCCAGATCAAGATCTGGGTCCTCCCAAGCGCCTTGTACGTCACTGGCGGCACCCGGCTGCGCGTTTTTTGCGTCGGGTACTGATGACGCGCCCCCAGCATCTGCAGAGTTGTCGTCGGTCTGGGGAGCTACGAATTCTACTTCACTAGTGAGGGGCACTGGATTATCCTGGGGCGCAAGGGTTGATGGCTCAGATTCAAACTCGGACGGTAACGCTCCTGCATCATCGGCCGTTGGAGCTTCTGGTCCCCGTTCATCAGATTCTGACGGCGCTGCCTCATTGATGGTTTCGGGTATTGCTGGCTCAGCCTCTGAGCTGGGAGGCTCAATGTCATCCGGGGCCACAGAAGCATTTTCGATGGGGGTGGGGGTGAGTGCCGAGACTGGCGGCTCCGATAAAAGGCTGTCCGGGTGCGCCGTACTGTTGCCGTCTGAATCAACGTCGGGCACAACAATGGATGTTTCGAGAGGCGAGGACTCTTCATCCAAGGCAGAAGTGGAAGTGGCAGCAGCAACGGACTGCTGCGTCGTTGGCTCGGGTTGAGATACCGAAGGGTCAGGGCTCAAAACTGGAGCTACGACTGGTTTTTCAAGGTTGTCAGGCAGCTGGGGCTCGGCACGCTTCCCATCGCCGCCATCCGATGCATCAAAGGGGCCTGGAGACTGAGGTACAACGGGTGAGGCAGGCTCAGTGAGGGTCACGGGGGCTTCTGAGGCGGTGGAAGTTTCATTCTTCTCCTTGAGCCGTTGTGAACGACCGCCGGCTGGTTTGCTCCGACGTGCGCCGAGCTTCGAACGGGCCCGCGCCTCCTGCAAACCATGCAAACATTCCAAAATGGCATGAGCACACGTGCACGGCAGATTCAGCAGGAAATGAAGAGCTGGTGGCACGGGGGTCAATCGATTCCAATTCGTGCCTTGCGCGCTGTTCGCTTTTCCTCCACGGCTTGGAGCAGTTCCTGAGAAACACAACCGTCGAGATGTCGGAGCAAGACGTTGAGAGCGCAAAGAGATGTTGTAGTGCAAAAAAAAAAAAAAAAAAATTCATAAAGTAAAAAGCGAATGTGTACCTGAGAAGCACTGCTGGCAGTCGCCGGCTCGGAAGGTTGAGGCATCATGTCAGAGGGGGTTGACCCGATGCCAGTGTCAGAAGGGGTTGGTAAGGAGCCATCTTGCTCCAAACCAGAGACCGAGTTTGGGCCACGGAAGACGTTGGTCAGGCCCGAGGCGTCAGATATGGCTATTCAACACGGGCTGCATGAGCTGACAGTTGAGGCAGAAGAGCTCAACCATGCGCGCGCGAGAGGTGGGGCTTACACTCATCAATGAGGGTGTCGCCGTCTTCTTGAATGTCCAATACTTTGTCGATCGACTTGACGGCCGATTTCAAGGTATCGCGAAACCAGCTCATATTGGCGCTGCGCAGATATCCTCGAGACCTGGCCACCCCCCAGAGGCGCAAGACACCACACGCAAGGAGCCAGTCGCCCGCGCTTGCACAACGCTGGTTTCCAAGCTGGGTGCAGGGCTGCGACCTGAATCTGGTCAGCACTTAAGACACGGCCCCTGCATCCCCGCGACACTAGCTCCTCCGAGCGAGCAACCGAGCCCGGCTCTGAAGCGGAGCGGGGGCGCAACAGGTGACAAGGCGCCCACACACACCTAAGACACGCGCCTTGGCAGCCCCCCGGCAGACGAGCCTGCTTTGAGCAAGAGGGATTCCAATACCAGGAACGACGACGACGAGCTGCTCAAACTGCCACTAAGAGAGAGAGAGACAGAGAGAGAGACAGAGAGAGAGAGACAGAGAGAGAGACAGAGACAGAGAGAGAGACAGAGACAGAGACAGAGACAGAGACAGAGACAGAGACAGAGACAGAGACAGAGACAGAGAGACAGACAGAGAGACAGAGACAGAGACAGAGACAGAGACAGAGACAGAGACAGAGACAGAGACAGAGAGAGAGACAGAGACAGAGACAGAGAAAGAGAGACAGAGACAGAGACAGAGACAGAGACAGAGACAGAGAGACAGACAGAGAGACAGAGACAGACAGAGAGACAGAGACAGAGACAGAGACAGAGACAGAGAGAGAGACAGAGAGACAGAGACAGAGAGACAGAGACAGAGACAGAGAGACAGAGACAGAGACAGAGACAGAGAGACAGACAGACTAACAATGTCATGTCAGACAAACAGAGACAGAGTTTGTGACGATGCACAGACACACATAAATTTATAGAGGAAACAGAGATTTGTCAGAGGACGGAATAAAAAACAGAGAACGAGAGAGAGAGAGAGAGACCGACACCGAGAGAGATTTGTCAAGAGGCGAATACCTAGACGCCATGGCAGTGTCAAGGCAGTTGGAAGAGCGAGCGACATGATTGACCAGAGTGCACAGCGGCTGCCTCAAATGAGGAAAAGACCGACACAAGTGCCTCAGCGGCATGCCCACCAGATCGGTACAGAGTCATTTTTTGAGGGATTTTGCTCCATTTAATTGCCATTTTTTTTACAATGCGGATGTATCTTGTAATTTCGCACCCCCCCCCGTCTCGACTCGAGCGTGATAAAGCACGGGATTGCGACTTGGTGGCTGAGCATTTATGGTCTTTACATTCATATGGCCACAGGGGGCGGGTTGCCATTCAAAAGTACTAGGCTCCAAGGCTCGATGCCACAACCTCGTACTCACATGTTAATGCTCGATCAATCAGCAGTTTCAGCAAGGGCGCAAAAGGTAAACACAGACAATCAATCGATTGGGTTCCGCCGGCAAGAAAATTTTAAGCCTGAGCAAAACACCGCCCTATTGCCGTGCATAGCTAAACGGGTAAAGATGAAGCACACGACACCACACTGCCGTTTCTCGACGCTGGGTCAACTATGAAATCGTTTGTTTGTTCATGTTGGAGCCCAAGACGTCATTGATGGCGAGCTCGGTCTCCTGCGCACATGGTGAATCAAGCGGTGTGAGCCGAAATAGGCCATGCTAGACACATAGTTGCACGGCCAACAACAATGCTTACGTTTGAAAAGCCGGTCAGACGTGTATCCATGACCATGAGCGACGAATTGTGATCCAAAGCGTCCAGCAGACGCTACGCCATTTGATACACCACGATCAAGTTAGTCGCGAGGACCCGCCGCTCATGGGCGCGTGACTTTCAGAATGAGAAGGACAGTGGTCTAAAACTCACCTTGCCCGTCTCGTCACCCAGTTCGTTACCGCTCAGATCGAGCTGTTCCAGCGACTTGTTCTTCTCAATGAGCTCGCTGAGAAAAGACGCGAGTGCATGTGCATGAGCACGAGGTGCAGGTGCCCATTGCTTGCCGGTACCGCAGGTGGGCCTCGCAAGCAAGCGTGTTGCCTTCAGTCCACAGTGCACATACCTCAGAGAAGATGAGGCGCGAGCCGTGATGCCGTTGCAGCTGACATTGAGTCGCCGAAGCGTTGTTTGCTCGCACAGCTGGTGAATGGAGTTGAATCAGGCGGACGGTACCAAAATGACCTCAAGGCGACCGTTCAGATGCACCAACGTCATCTCCACATGCCACAACTCTGGCTGGCTAAGGAAGAGCAACTTACAGCGGTGAATAGGGCGTGGGCCCCTTGGTCGCCAATGTCGTTGCGTCGGAGGTTGAGCGTCGTCAAAAATCCATTGCCCATCAAACCCATGGCCAACGCTCGCGCCCCAACTGGCGCAATCTATCAAGCGTGCGTTGGATCAATGAGCGGCTGAACGACGTTGCCACACACGACACGTTCCGAAGCTGTACTCGACCTGGTTCTCCGCAAGGTTCAGGCCAGCCAGTTGACAGTGACCATTCAGAAGCTTGGCTAACGCACGCGCACCACTACAGGGCCGGATGGAACCAGGGCCAGGTGCTCACCACATGAATAAACGGAGCATAGGCCGGAGGAATCACGCGGCAGGGGTAAATGTTTCATGGCGACCAAACGTACCGGTCGCCAAAGGCATTCATGGAAAGGTCCAGTGATACGAGGGACTTGTTGTCCAACAGCTTGGCTGCTAGAAGGCGCACCTTGCGATCGTCCAGCAAACTATCCCGAATATGTAAAGTCACGGTAGCGGCACTTCACATTTTGCTTGGAGCATGTGCGACAGGCTGGCAGGGACACACCTTTCTGTGACGGACAAATACTGCAGCTGAGGCGAATACTTGACACAGTCGCCAACCAAGAGAGCATCGGCATTGGTGGCACCAAACATGTTCCAGCGAAACGCCATGCCGCAATCTTTTTTCTGTTGAAAAATAAAAAATAAAAAATTCACAGTCGCACCGCACCACAAGGGAATGTGCGAATCAAAGAATGCGCTGAATGAGGGCCTGCAATCAGGAAGCCAATGCAGGAAAGTTTCCAACTCTACTCCTCGCACATTTGCCAGTGCAAAGCAGGTGCTTGTGGGGAGTTGGAAGAAAACAGATGCATAGTCTTGCCTTGAAAGCCACTTTGAGAGTGTGTAGGTTGGGGAGCAGTTCTACAACGTTGCTCAGATCGAGGTGGTCGCGGACCACGTCTTCATCTTCCTCGTTCTCTTCGTCATCTGTGTCAGGGTTGGCAGGGTCGGTGTCAAGCTTGGCCCCCTCCGGCAGAGGCTCGGCTAGAGGCTCCAGTTCATTCTCAGGTGGCAACACGTCGGCCGGGGGCTGTAACTCTGTCAGATCCAACACTTGTACCAACGGTTGAGCAAAGGCGATGCTTCGCTTCAAGGCCTCTTCATCGTCTGTGCCCGGCACGAATCGCTCAAGGGCCTCTAGGAGTGCAGATCAAAAGCAGATTCAAGTCAAATTCAGCATGAGGCACAAGTTGGATCAGTGGCGTTCACGTGCACAAGCACGCAAAGAACGGGCCAACCGTCGGAGCTCGGAATTTACCTTGGAGGTAGCGCTCCATGAACAGGCGCTTCCAGCTGCCGCCATGGCGGTGAATGTTGCTATTGGGAAAGCGGGCCATGCAGCAGCGGCGCCAATAGGCTTCGTCACCAATCAAGTGCGCAGTCAAGCTGAGGGGCAAGTCGCTGGGTAGGGCCGTCAGGATGCGGTCGCGAAACTCGGCTGGCACGGCGTCCAGAATGGGGTTTTCTTGAAAGTCGGCCAAGATCTGGCCAAGGCACAGATCGCGCAGACTGGGGACAAGGGATTTGTTCCAGGTGGGGTCTTCAACAATGATGCGGCGCATACGCCGCGGGTTCACCTTGTCACCTGCCCCCGCCGCAGCGGCCTAGGTTGGAACAGACACCCAGCGCGTCAAGCCTGCGAGAAGACGCGCCATGAAGCAGAAGCGCGCAGGTGCACGTACAGGCGGGTTGGGAAGATTGACAGCCTTGGTAGCCATGCCAGCTTGTGCTCGGCTTCTGGTGTGCACACTTGTAAAGTCTTTGGGTGACCAGCGCGACTCGAGTCTCCTGCGCACAGGCGGTTCCAGTGCAAAGCTTCAGTCAGGCAAAATGTTGCCCTCTGTCGAGGCCCACGCGAACACAACACACGCGCCACACCAAGCCTGGCCCAACATCAGACGTGACAAACCACCCTTGCCCACACCCCCCTCGTCCCTTACCAGTCCCTGGTCAAGCCGTCGGGCTGCCCGAGCGAGGGCTCGCCTCCACACACACACACACACACACACACACACACACACAACAGAGACAGAGCACACACTTGTTGTATTTCCGTCGTCAAGCGGCCCTAAGTGAAAGTGTGTCAGCTTTCACATTAAAAGACATTTTCCTTTTTTAAACAATTCAAAATAAGAGAGGGTTGAGGGCTGGGCAGGGGAAGAGGAGGCCTGCTCACCGGTCGGTGGTGCTTCACTGGCTGTGGGCGGGGCGATGGCCTTTGTCTTGTCGACTCACAGCTCTGCTCTTCGGCTCGAGCATCATTGGGCATGGATGCAGCTATGGCTCAATTTCCGATTGATCATACCCATTTTTCACCAGTTCACTCTCCTGAATCGATTGACGGTCTTATGAACGGGCCTTCCTTCCGTTCTGATCGGGCGACGCGGGCCAATCCCACCACAGCTTTGTGAGGTGTGAATCGAGCAAGCGGCACGGGAATGGGACGGTACGGCTAAAAGTTGACACGCGAAAAACATTGCAAAAAAGAATAAACCCGTTCATCTGCCACAGGCAGGGGCTCAAAATCCAAGAAAAAAGCAAGAAAAAAGCTAAAAAAAAAAAAAAGAGATTGTTGCACGTGCAACGCCACGAAGTGCAATAGCCTGGCTGAGAAAGAGCCCTAGAGGCAAAGAAGAACGGCCGTGCAATCATCCGAGCTGTTGACAGCGAGCATGTTGTTTGCATGTGCGTCATCACAGAGCTGTTGGGCGGCTTCTTGTGCCGTGGCTGTGCGGGCAAGGACATCAAGGATGACGTCTCGCTTCAAGCCGTCGGTAATGCCGTCCGAGACAACAAGAATGGCAAATGTTTCATCCGCATCGAGGACGCGAACATAGCAATCTGGTTCAAAGGACACGCCGTATGCACTCAGCTGTTTATGACCCAGCGACTTTGAAATTTGCACTTGGTGCGCCCGCAAGTCGGCTTCGTCATCGATAGCCAGGTAGTGATCTTCTGTGACGTGGCCGCGCTGACCAAGGACGCTTGCAACCCGCTCACGTTCATCTGCTGAGTGAAGGTTGTGCCGCCGTGTGACATAGCCCAGATCCAGGCCATCGGCTTTGAGCGGTTGGTTGCAACTAGATGCCAAGGGCAAAGGGATGAGTCAACCCGCGTGTTACGGAATCTCGTGGATCTCGGGAAAGACATGAAAACTAAAAAGAGGGAGGCGCCGGGAGTATACCAAACGCATACCGGGCAAGGGCCACGAGGGAATCACCGGCATGCGCGCATGCAAACATCATTCGATCGTCTGGCGGAAAGAGAGCCAAGAGCCAAGGGTCAGTGGAGGTGAGGTGTACGGACCAAGGCGGCGTCGGCTCCAGGCCTCGATCGTACCAGAGAGATGAAGAAGCAGGGCGATGGCAGCCGTGGTACCGTAGTCAAGTGGACTGGTGTGGCCATCATGCCGTACAATGCATTGACCCCATTTGGGGTGGTCGAGGCGGGCAAAACGATGCAGCTGTCCACCTTGTGTGTATTCATATTCGGCTGGCCATTGTGCATAATCGTCAATGATGGCGGTATGCAGGCGTTTGAAGATGGCTTTAAGCAAGGTGTCCGGCTCGTGTGCTACATGCTCCCATCTGCCGGTGACGTGGGCACATCAAGGCACGAGGCTGCCGTGAGCTCATGGGCAAGAATGGGCAAGAATGGGCGAGAATGAGCAAGAATGAACCGATACAATTCCAAGCGATGGTTGGCGACCAACTCTGGGAGGCGATCGGCTTCACGGCGGACAGCGGCGCCGACAATTTTGTTGAGCGTGTCGGCGGCACATTGTGAGGCGCGCTCGCCACCGGGCGAGTGGCCATCAAAGACGGCGGCCAAGGAGAAACGGCCGACGCCTGCAAGACGGCCACTCGTCAAAAAGTAGCTGTCCTGGTTGACGCTGGCATCTATTCGCGCGAAAGAGGAAAGTGAGACAAGGGCAAGGCAAGGGTGAAGAGGTCGAGGGGAGGGCCAAGCGTACGCTGGGTTCCACAGCGTGAAAACGCAGCCGAGTCCACAGCCATGGTGACGATGCGTGATGCTATATCCTTGTCTCAAAGGCCTTGAGAACGGCTCAAGGCCACTGGTGCCAGACAAAATGTCAAAAGCACAGCCCACGAGCCCGAGGTGTTGTGCCAGGTGCCTCGGAGGGGGGCCAGATGGCAGAGGAAGAGAGACAGCGACGGCAGCAATCTTAAAAAGATCGAGAGCGGTGGGAGCAGAGCAGTAGTACAGTGGCTCGCCAGAGCTCCAAGAAGCGGCTGGCACACGCCCAAGAAGGCAAAGCCAAAAGAGCAGACAGGAGACAAGCAAGCCAGCAAAGGCACCAAGAGCCACAGAAGCGGCTAGTCGAATAAAGACCAGAGGAGGCACGATGGGGCCCCACAGGGGTCAGCAAAGGCAAAGGCAAAGGCCGTGGCGCTGCCGTTTCCGTTCTACGCCGTGCGGTTCGTCAGCTCAAAACGTCTTGAAAATGCGCAAAAGCCAGCAGTTGCAAGACATAGCGGAAATAGCTGTGTGGTGATTTTACCACATGTAAGTACTACATTGTGAACAGCGAGTGAATTTCTATGGGGAACGACTGAAACGTGTGTTCCCTCCATATGAATCCGGAGAGGGAGAGAGATAGAGAGAGAGAGAGAGAGAGAGAGAGAGAGAGAGAGAGAGAGAGAGAGAGAGAGAGAGAGAGAGAGAGAGAGAGAGAGAGAGAGAGAGAGAGGGCGAGGGAGAGAGATGGAGAGAGATGGAGAGAGATGGAGAGAGAGAAAGGGAGAGGGGGAGAGGGATAGATAGATAGAGAGAGAGGGGGTGTGGGGACACACAAGAGGCTGTGTGAGGCAGAGAAAGACAGAAAGTCAGGAGGACAGGGACCGGGCAAGGGACAGGGACAAAGTCAAACGAGACTGGGAAACAGAGACAGGCGGAGAAAGAACAGTGTATCAATCCCAAGCGTGCCGAGCAGATATGGCACGTGTGCGACATCGTGTTTGCAACTCTGCGCAAAGGCGAGGCCTGGACCAAATAGACACTATCTTCAATTTGGGTAGGTTCCATCAGCCGCAGGAACTCTGTCGGCGGGGTTTGTCTGGATGGGGCCGGGACACACATGGCAAGTATGAACAGAAACATGATTGCTAGCACACAAAGACGCTGCCTCCAGCAAGAGCTGAAGGCAAGACTGTCGAACAATATGATACAAAAAAAAAAGAAATAAAACCTCCCAAGGGGTTGGCGGGACCGGCATCAAGCACGAGGCGAGCATATACAACAATAAGCAAACAGAAAGGAGGAGAAGACACCCCCACTCAATGTGATTCCAGCTATGTACAGGGCCGAGTGAGCTGTACGCAGATGATTGGGCCAAAAATGGGCCATGTTAGTGCTGCTCCTCGCGTGCCGCGTCGGGGCTGCGGGGCTGAACCAAGACCCCGGGCTGTTTGGTGTGGATGGCCAGGCCGCGTTCAGATTCTTGGTCCAAGTCAAGGGTCACATCAGTCATCTTCTTCGGAGCGGCCGCGGAAGCGTTTTGGGTTTGGACCTTGGGGGCTGCCCAGCACTGACAGGTGACGGCGCTCCAGCAGCTGCTTGCCACCGTCTTGGCACCCTCCAACGCTCGCGTCACCGAAGATGACTCTGCCGCGTCGTGCGTCATTGGACCCATGGGGTTGGGCCGTGTCGACGCGGAAGGCGCAAGGCGTCCACCCCATGACGGTTTACGCAGCGGCATCATTGAGAAGCGCGAGCTGTGTCGGTGACGTTCCGGAGCGAGTGCTGCCAGCGCCTCTGCTGGCGTCCCGAGCAAACACTCTAGAAAAATGTCTGGCCACAAGACAGAGAGCAAAGGGGCGATATCCCAGCAATGAGGTTCACGCCAAACTGAAGCGAAGCTTAAGCCCCGGGCACTCACTAGGCCTGCCACCCGCAGCTGGTGTAGCAGAGGCAGCATCGTTGGAAGCGTCGGGTCCGGGCTGGACAAATGTTGCCATGCGGGAGCGATCGAGCGTGATCTGAATCGCGTATTCGTCCAGCTCCAGGACTTGTGGCGCCACTTGTACAAACTTGCAATGCAGATTGGGACTGCCTGCTGGCTCAAGGGCAAAGACATGGACGTGGCAAGCACAGAGGATGAGACGGGGAAGCAAAGGCCAAATGTGCGGAGACGGGCTCGTAGGATGCCAGCCAGAGAGGCAAGGACGACAAAGCCCAACTTGCCGATGCCCGGGAGCGTATACAAGGCCCAAGCTGGCGCAGCCGGGTCAGAAGAGGGTGGGGTGATAAACATGCGCTGCATATAGGCAGCAGCAATCATGTGCTTGTCCTTGTGTGCAAAGCTCTGCGCTCACGGCCCGCATGTGATATGAGTGCGCCCTTGCAGATGGCACAAGGGGAAGGCGAGGCAAGCGTCGGGCCTTGCCTCGGGCAAGTGGGCGGCAAGACAATCCAGCACGATTTCACGAGAGGCAAAGAGTTGGGTGCGATCATGACCGGCCAGGACAAAGACCAGGTCCACATCCGTCTGAGGTGGCCCGGCACGACAGGCAAGACCAGGATCAGACTTGGCAGTGAACTGCAGATGCAAGCGAGTCAGGGTCAGAGCCAGGGCCAGGGCCAGAGGGGCGTACCAGGGGAAATTCCGAGTTGATGCAGTTGGCAACGGCGTTGCCTTCAAGCTTGACGGCTTGGACTTGCGTTTGACAGGTGTGCAGTTCATCCTCGATTTGCCAGGCAAAGCGCAGGGGCGCGAGATGCACGGCGGGCCAGGACGCGCTGAGAAAGGTGCCGCCGCGGAGCTGCATCTCAGTGCCGAGCGTAGCCCGCAGGATCGCCACTTGTTCATCCTGGAGCATCACGTCGTTGCCGTGCACATCCGTGGGCAGCGGAAGAGCACCGCCGTTGCTCTCATGGCTTTGCTCGGCCATCTCAGTTGAGGTTCATGGGCAGCGAGGCAGCAGCAAGAAGGAAGAAACTGACAAAGAGGAGAGTAAGCGAGAGAGGGAGGGAGAGAGGGAGGAGGAGAAGGAGCGTGAACAAAGACTTGCTCCAAACGTCCATAAAAGCACCAGCGCCGAGGCACAGGAAGCAACGTCGAGGTGGGCGGCGGAAGCGGAAGCAGCGGGCGCCGTTCGGGGCACAATCACAAGCGCTTGACAGGTTGGGCAAAACGGGACAAGAGAGAGGTAGCGCTTTGGTCTGATTGACTTTTCAGAGGTGGCGGGTTAGGGAGGGTATAGTCTCAGAGAATGTGTGTTACCTGCATCAGCGGGGTGTGAAAATCAATGTGATTATAACGATATTCAGAGAGACAATTGCCAAGATGCTCAAACTGTAGAGAGGTGTTGCATGATCGCAACACAGATGAGAGAGAGAGGGACGAGCAGCAATCGGCGGACATCTGTCTCTGTCCGCAGTTTTTCAAGTGTGGCAGTTTAAAGGTATACCGCGCTTCAATTTGAACCTCGGGTGTGAGAGAGCTTGCCCTCAGCCTGACGAGAGGCGCGCGAATGGACTTGACATCCGGATGTATGTGAACAACAACAACAGCATCAACAGCAACTCGAATAACCCAGAGAAGAACACCAATGCGTTGGATGTGCCAACGCTCACACACTGCCATAAAATATATCGGATGCAGGGGAGCAGGAGGAGCAGCAGTCATGGCCTTGACTGCCTCCCCCCAATACTCGCCACTAGTTTACAACAAAAGCGTTGGCCTCAAGCACCGCTCCAGGCCACGCCCCAAACGACATTTGTCTGTGACTAAACGACAGCCATCAACTCCTGCGAGGCATTGCGCACATTGCGCTAGAGATACACGCCCCCCCGAATGAGTCAACCGTGCGCTGATGGACGACGAGAGGGAGGGTTCATGTGGTCAAAAGGCTTACCAGCGGTGTAATTTCCGTGGCTCGGGGCGGACAGTCGATGACGTCTGCCGTCTCATACATGGGTTCCGTAGGCCGGCGTGCATGGGTGTACTACAAAGAGCAAACGACTCGAGATCAGGCCCCTGGATGGTGGTAGAGGGATAGATGACTAGGTCTAGGAACCGACCACACGCACCTCATGCCGGCCTTCATCAGGGCGGCTCGAGCTGGCCTGCTCGTACACAAACTTGGTCGAGCGCTGCTGCTCTGCGGCCCGGCCCGGCGAGCGAGGGGACCGGGGGGAAATTGGCGCCGCTTCTTCGACATCAGACCCAAAGCTACGCTCGTTGGCTCGTGGCATCAACACACTGGAGAGCTCCTGCCAACGCAGTCGGATTGCCTCATCGGTGCGGCCCGGCAGCATCTTGGCGACCTCGATCCAATCGTTGCCATGTTGCCTAAATCCCACACAATATGATGAGGGGCGGCGTTGTCATTAAAGCCTCGCATGCGTCGACCCTGGTCCCCCATCTGCGCATGACGAACAGATACAGCGCCGTACATTTGTGCTTGCAGCAGAATGCGGTCCTCTGAGGGCACGAAAGGGCCGTCCTTGACATTCTTGGTCCGCTCGTCCGTAAACCTGGAGACGGCCACGGCAATGAGTGCCAGAACACGTCTTGGCCCGCTTGAAATAATCAGCAGTGCCAGGGGCGGATAGAGCAGAACTCTCACCAAGTAACGCTTGAGTTCTCCTCGGATCGGCTGACGGGGACAAACTTGCCCGAATTCTTTTGTTCGCGCGTATGGACGGTCTAAAGTCGCAACCAAGTCAAATCAGTGAGAGCAGGATGCGGCCACATCGCGAGTACAGTGCAGCGGGCTTCGATGGAGGCAGCTGCAGTGCATGGTGTCACCTCCTGTACACACATTCACAGTCACATTCACATTGACATACCTCCTTTTTGACGCTGATTTTGATGCACGCTTGCTCTTGCATGCTCTGCATGACCATGAGCGCTGTCTGCAGGCGCTGATCGCTGTCTGTCAGGAGTTGACGCAGACGCTCAATCTGTTGTTGCTGCTGATCAATCTGAGTCTGCATGCGCTTCTTGTCGTCTCCGCGCTTGGCATCGTGTGTGCCCGAGATGCCCGTCTCACGCAGCTGGTCCAGCTCCACTGTCAAGCGAGCCACATCGGCACATGCCACGGCCAAGTTCTGCATGCAAAGCCATTGTCATTGGTAGACAGCGACGTGTGAAGAGCGGTGCTCAACCTACACGTCTGGTTTACGTGCATGTCTGGGCAGGTATAGACGCTCGTACCTTGCGAAGATGGCGCATCTCGTTGAGATCATCCTGGCTCAGGCTTACGTCGTTGGCGGGCGCCACCTTGCGCGCCGCACGCTGCACAGTTATCGGACGCATACGATGGTCAAGAACAAGTTGTTTGGTGGACACGAACGAAGCCATTTGAGGCTCTCTTTTCCGATAGGCAAACAAGAGCGGTGGCTGACCTTGAGGGTGCGGTTCTCCTGTTCGAGGGCGGCGATGCGGTTGATGTGTTGCAGGGTCAACATGCCTGTTCCGCTACCAGCCCGGACGGACAGGTTGGGCATGGCCAGGCTATCCAGGGAGCCGGTGCTCTGTTTGGTTCAAGCGTTGTGAATTAGATGATGCTGGAAGAACGTCCTTTCCCAACGTACAGTAAAAACTGGGAAGGCCTTTGCGGTTGGGGTGGTAGCATGTGAATGGAATCCATCTGCAGGGGGGGGAACCGGCCAAGCCTACCTCGGCCTGAAGCATGCGGGATCGAAGGTTTGCGTTGGCTTTGCGTTCCTTATCCAGGAGATCGTTGAGTTGATTGACACGGTGCTGGAGGTCATCGCGGGCCAGTTCGGCCTTGTTGACGCGGGCTTGCAGCTCGCGACTGCGGTTGCGCTGCTCGTCCAAGGCGGCGGTGAACTGATCTTCGTCGTCTTCCGAGGACTTTGACATGGTCAACTGTGCTGTCTGTGCCACCACCATCGCTTGCAGCGCTTGGACATCCTGCCGCATGGTTTCCACCTCCTTGCGCTCGTCATCAATTCTGTGCCAGAGCACCATGTGTGAGCAGGGCGACTGGCAGAAGCAAAGCAATTTGCCCTGATTATATCTCAGGAGGGCGTCGGGGCTGATCAAACCTGGAGCGCTCGAGGGACAAGTCGGGATGTCCGGGGGCATTGGTTTCCTGGTGGTGCTCGGCCACTTGTTTGAGGCTGTAAAGCATGGGATGCGTGGTGGTAGATTGACCACGACGGTGCGGGTTAGCGGTGGCGGGATGAGCAGCGTGGATGTTGGGTGAAGCGTCGCTTGGGCTCTTACATGCTCAGATTAGTTTCGAGCGTCACCAACTACACGGGGCAACGCAGACAAAACTGGGATGAGCATCGGCTGGTGCAAGTCAAGGTTCAAAGACACAAGACTGCGCTATTGATGCCTTATTCACCTGAGCTTCAAGCTGCGGTCGGGTCGTCTGGGAGACATGGAGGGGGAAGGTGGCACAGCAAAAGCGTCAGCACACTGGAGCTTTGCTGCGTTCATGGGACACATCGAGGCCGACTGGCTGTTTCAGCGAAACAGACCTGATCGACCTGAGAGAGGAGATGGCGCGTTTGCTCGATGGCCGCCTGTTGCATGCCGGCAGGCAGCAAAAAACAAGTCAGACCCAGAACATTGGGCCGAATGGCCGAGGCTGGGGTGGTTGGCACGATGGACCGACCTGCATGGCGGCAGCCGCTTCCGTCACGGTCATGAGGCCGGTGTCAAGAGGCTTCGCGACGACGAATGGACGGATGGATGGACTGGGGCTCTTTGGGGAGAACGGCGCTGCGACGATGGGCCGACACTGGTGAGAAGGTAACGTGAGCTCACGCTGGTCGTCACACTTGTCCAGGGCAAATGAAATACCGCCGCCCAAATGGATCTCATTGTTCAAACAAGCTGGAGATGGCATGCATGCGACGCATGACAACACCGATGTGGTCTCCTCTGTCCTTGGTCAGGCCCAGAGGAGCAGAGGCGGACCCGTGCGAGAGCGAGAGAGAGAGAGAGAGAGTCGAATCGCTTCGGGAGCTCCTCAGCGGACACACTTTCTCGAACGAGAGAGAAAGAGAGAGTCAAGGAGAGGTCCTGACCGAGAATTGGCAGCGGACACGAGCGATGCATTCCATTCTGGCGGTGACGACAAAGTCTACTCCCAACCTCCCTCCCCCCCTAAGGCCCTGACCAATGCTACTTACTGGTGAACCTGCTTCTTGATGTGTGAGAATGGATTGGGAAACACGGTCCTCGCGTATGGAGCGCGGCCTTACGACTGATGGTGGCTTGGCTGGATCAAACGGCAGTGAGTGGGTGGCGGTGAAATTCAGCACGATAAAGGCAGCAAGGGGCTTGTGAAAGTAACGATGATCAATTGCGTCGAGTCTGAAGGCCAGACGCTTCCATGGCAGAGGCTCATCACATGGGGCACTACCGGGTGGCACATCTGCCACAGGAACCGCGGGTAATGTCCTGGCAAGTGCCGAGGGTGTAGAGCGAATCGGGCACAGTTGGAAACACCAATGTGGGGTTGTTGCAAATCTGAACCGAGCCACCGACGTGGGTGACATTGCCAAGACCGGACACGTCGGTCAATTTATCGTTGCGCTACATCACCATGTCAGCAGTGCGAGTGAGACCCTTGGTGGGGACGAGGCACGCGCCCAGACATCCAGAGCAAGCGTATCGCTGTGCTCGGCATACCGTAAAGTAGAGGTAGCCATGCACGCTGTTGAGACTGCGCAGGCCATCAAGGTTGGTCAGGGCGGCATTGGCCTAAGAGCAACGTGAAGGACAGGCAACCGAATTGTACATGCCCGCCCAAAAGGTCAGTCAGTTGCCAGTAGCTGGCGTCTGAAGGGCGCGTTGCTGCCGCTCGGTTGTCACCAATGACATACCCCAACCATGAAATAGTCCGTGACATCCGTGAGCTCGTTTAGACCGTCCATGTTTGCCAACGCAGGGTTCATCTGGGAGTGGGTCAATGACAGACACGGCGCAATGAGAGATTGGCTGAGCGCCGGCCTGGCCTTTTGCAGGGTGATCGGACAGCAACAATAAAACAGCAACGAGCAGACACGGACATAAAAGTAGACAAAGCTCGAAACGGTCCTGAGGCTATGGAGGCCATCAATATTTGTCAATGCGTTGTTGTTCTGAGACGTTGGAACAACATGGCACAGGTGCACATGCGTGGGTGTGTGAGTGCACAGAGGAAGCGACAAAAGCGCCTGACGTCAGGGCAGCACAACTCCCGAGGTGCAGCTCACTGCATGTCGCATCATGCCACTCACGGTGAAATACAGAACATTGGTTTTTGTGACGCTGCCGAGGCCGTTGACGTTGGCCAGCAAATTGTTGTGCTACAGGTGCAGAGCGACGAGCCTGTGGATCAGGGAACGCGGGCCAGCTTTGCCGTGCCAAGGGGCCATGACAGCCTATTTTAAAGAGTCGACACTTACGTAAATCTGAATGCGGTCACCAACGCTGGCAAGACGACCGAGGGCGTCGATGTTGGTCAGTGCATCATTGTTCTGCCAAGCAAACACAGTGATCAGCTTCATGGGCCGCACATGGTCAACGGCACTCGCCGATGGCGAAGCGTTTTTCGACGCACATAAATGATGACAGAGCCGTCAACTCGCGCCAGGTTATTGAAGATGTGGAGGTCCGCAGCGGTGAGTGAGTCACCGCAATTGTATAATCTGAGGCTACCAGTGATGTTTGTGACGCCAGCTGGAACCGAAGATAAATTACATCCCACGTCTCCCGCGTAAATTATGGGTACGCCAGAGGTGGTGGGGGCTGACTGGGCGGTCGTTGAAGATGCAGGATGGGTAACGGTGGTTGAGGTAGCCGTGGCAAGGGTGGTTGAGGTGGACGTGGCAAGGGTGGTTGAGGTGGACGTGGCAAGGGTGGTTGAGGTAGTCGTGGCAAGGGTGGTTGAGGTGGACGTGGCAAGGGTGGTTGAGGTGGACGTGGCAAGGGTGGTTGAGGTGGACGTGGCAAGGGTGGTTGAGGTGGACGTGGCAAGGGTGGTTGAGGTGGACGTGGCAAGGGTGGTTGAGGTAGTCGTGGCAAGGGTGGTTGAGGTGGACGTGGCAAGGGTGGTTGAGGTGGACGTGGCAAGGGTGGTTGAGGGTTGAGGTGTTGTGGCTGCCTGGAGCTGAGCCACGGCGCGCTGTAAATCCTGCAGGGCGCCCAAAAAGTCGACGCCGTTGATTCGGATTTGGCGAGTCGTGCTCGAGTTGAGATAGAGATGACCAAGCACATCTGAAGAGACCGTGGTCTCCATGCTGGTCGCATGAGAGGGCACGCATGGGGTTGGCGAGAGATCGGTGGGAAAAGCCATGGTGGGCTGCATTTCGGTGACTGCGGCCTGAAGTGCTCCCAGGTCACCGAGAACGTCGAGGTCATTGAGAAGCACGCGCCGGCCATGGATGACCAAGTCGCCACATTCGTTCAAGTTCATCCCTGCGCCTGGTTCGAGCATACTCGCCGGCTGGGGTTCAGGTTTGGGTTCGGCGGGCTGTCCTCCCATGTCGACAATCAACTGTCGCATGTGGCCCAACACCACTCCAACGTCGACGCCATTGAGGAAGCAAGCCGTTGCCCCATGCACCTGCGCACTCTCCATCCAAAGATCCCCGGCAGCATCCGACCAAAGAGCCGCATGCTCCCTCACGGCTCCAGCACGCTCAACCCCCACAAGAGCCACGACCGCCATCACCACGATCAATGCCTTGCTTATCATCTTTGTTCGTCCCACGCCTCCAGCAAGGAGCAGACCTTAACCACCACCACCAGAACAGTCGCAGCCGAGCAGTCGAGCAGTCGAGCGAACTAGCAGTGTAGCCGTCTGCAGCGGTCACAGTCTCTCCGCAGTGTTGAATGCAGCAACAACGGAGCAGTCTAGCAAGCGAACAGTCTTGGTCGAGCAGCAGCAGGTATCACCAGGCTTCCAAGGCGGAGAAAGAAAGGTGGGAGGGGGGCGTAGACCACACCGACGGACGAAGAGGAAGAAGAGGAGGAAGAGGAGGAAGAGGAGGAAGAGGAGGAAGAGGAGGAAGAGGAAGGATCAAGAGGATCAAGAGGATCAAGAGGAGGAAGACGAGGAAGAGGAGGAAGACGAGGAAGACGAGGAAAAGGGGAAGACGAGGAAAAGGGGAAGAGGAGGAGGAGGAGGAGGAGGGCGTAACGAGGAAACGGAGGGGGGTAACGAGGCTGACTCATCCCCTTTGTCCTCACTCCTTGAATTACGAACCACTCTGGTCACATTTTCAGAAGATTTTCATGTCACATTTTTGTTCGGAAAACACACACACACACACACACACACACACACACACACACACACACACACACACACACACACACACACACACACACACACACACACACACACACACACACACACACACAAGATACCACACGACTACTTCATGTACGAGCTGTACACCCCCCCGTACCTTGTACTGTGCCTTACCTCGGCACTTTGGGGGTGATGCGCTTTTGGTGTATTGTACCTGATGATGCTTGATGATACACTTTGAAGAGTGATCTCCGTCTGTCGGTCTGTCGGTCTGTCGGTCTGTCGTTTCGGTGGATTGAAATTGGCCAAGGTCGCTGTCCTAAACATCTTTGAATTGACCTCACATGATCCCGAGCACATCTCTTATAGAGATCTTATTAGGGCTTTTGCGTATTTATTGGATCGCTTTGTGAGTATTTCCGATGGTTCCTTTCGATGGTTTCTTGCCAGATGGATATGTGTGTATCTGCCTACTGTCTGTTTGTCCCTCTCCGTCTATGTTTGCCTGTCAGTCTTTGCCTCTGTCTTTATGGATTTGTGTGTGGGTGTGTGTGCGCGTGTGAGTAGAAAAAATGGGAGTGGCTGTGGTAGTGACAGGGGCCGAGATCGAGTGCGATGTTATTGTGGATATTCTGAAAAGAGAGGGGTGGGTTCTTCCTATCAACCGCGAGTATGGATGTCATGGAAGTGTGCTTCGTCCTGGTCCGAGCTAGCGTGCCAAAGACCAGACTTGTCGTTGAGAAAAAGGCAGGGAAAAAAAAAAAATGAGAGGTTACGATGTCTGTCGAGAAGGACCAGTCCATTGATCAGTTGACAGGGCGGCATGCTGGGGTCGTTGTTGTGTGCGTCAATTGCAGCGGCCCGCATCGTTGTTTACATAGCATGCCACACACACACACAAAGTAACGAAGAGAGCAATTTCATGTCTTTTCAGTAGGATCGTCGTGGCGGCGAAGGCACGGAACACGATGGCACGAGAGAGACGGCCAGTGGAAAAAAAAAACCCCCCTCTCAAGAATCGAGCGCTCGGCTAGTTGTTGGCTTGACGCAAGACGATCCAGCCTCGTGTTTGCTGAGACGAGCTGTCAATCGTGTTCATGGCATTGAAAACGTCCTGGCGAGTGGCCCAGAAGCTTGGATACTACGTAGAATAGAAAAAGATGGAGCAGAAAAGCGCAATGGCGCAGGCATGAGCATCGAGTGTGGCGGCAGCTCAGAAAGGCCTCAATAAAAAAGGGAGAGGGGAATGACGAAAGGGGGGGAAGCCCAAGCAAAAACCGGCACCTTGTAGCGGGCGACGTCAAGGACGAGGATGCGGTCCGAGACGGGATCGTAGGCGGCGAGGGGGCTAAAGTGGCCACCGCCTTCTTGGTGCATGCCCGTGCGCAAAAAGTTGATGATGATGAGCGCATGGGTGCCCTGACTGGTGGCATTGAGATCACGGGAAAAGGCGGCGAGGTCAGCGCCGGCCTGTCCCGCATGGTGGAGCTGGGCATCAACGGCCGGGAAACAGGCGAGCAGGGCATGGGCTTGCGCCAAGGTCAGGCCGTGGGTGGCGACGTAAGCCTCTGTAATGTTCTGATTCACGGCACAAGGGGTAAAGACGTCGCTCTGGGTGAAATAGTTGTAGGGTGAATAGACGGCGTCGACGGGGGCCGGGACGCCCAGGGCATTGAGGCTCATGGCACTCGATGCGACCGAGCAGTATGCCTGGTTCTGTTGAGTGGTGTAGGTCATGCTGAGTTGCCAAAAGGGCTCGGCGTACCCCTGCGCCTGCGCGCTCAACAACAGCTGCACACCAGCGCTGCTGTTGCTGGCAATCAGCTCGGGCGGCAAAGGCATCTCTCGCCGCGCCCGCTCCCCATGAGGAAGCTGCGGCAGCCCCACAATGGGCGCCACGAGCGCTGCTACTGCCAACCACACGACTGCTGCGCCCGCCATTCTATCAACCGCAACACCCTTCATGAGAGGGGAGGAGGGGACAAGCGACGGGTGAGCGATGCCGATTGGCCGATGGACTGACCTCGAGGTGAAGGCGCGCTCTTTCGAGAATTCGCTTCAACTGTAAAATCTCTCTCTCTCTCTCTCCCTCTCTCTCACTAGCGCTGTCTCTGAATTTGTTGGTGACTCGGCGCCTCTCTCTGAATTACTTGGCATTTGTGTTGGTTTTCTTCCTTATATGCGCTCTTCAGTCTCTTTCCCTCTGAGAGGTTGCTCGTGTGCATCTCTCTCTCTCTCTCTCTCTCTCTCTCTCTCTCTCTCTCTCTCTCTACCTTTTCCTCCAAACCAAACTCTGTTTTATGAACCGGCGACCTTGAGTGATCACGGGCGCGTGGATTGGTCCAACGTGTCTTGCGCCGCGAGTGAGATCATCGCTGCTATTTGATCACAATTGGGTCTTGGCTTGACGGATGCTTCAGGCCATCGCGGCCGCTGCCGTTTCTTTCCTTCAGCCCCGCAGGCAGCATCCGCGCATCTCACGTCATGCCACTGCTTGCAAAGCTACAATTTATTGTCGCGCAATGTAGAGTTGTTGTAGCAATGAACGAAGTTTATGTCTTGAAATATATAGATGTTGCAGTTATATTTGATCATAGTAAGTAACCAAAGGCATTTGAATTTTAGATATATACTCAAAGCTAGTAGATATAGACATGGATTATACTGTTATAAAGAGTAGTTTATAAAAAGACAACGTAAATAACTGGTTATTCTTAGTTGTTAAATTATCATTAATAAGTGTTCAAAACGACATTAACCTGCTATTCTACGTCAAAAGCTCTTGGATTGCATACAGAGAGGAGAGAGAGAGGGATAGAGATCACACACACACACACACACACACACACACACACACACACACACACACACACACACACACACACACACACACACGTTTTCCATTTTCTTCCAAAAGTGCGGACAGTCATTGCGAGCGCGCGACCACACACACACACACACACACGCAGAGACTCGGAGGTACGTGCTCGGGCGTTGGCTTGATCTGGGTTTTGATCATTGGGAGGGGAGGGTGGCACTATCTTGGGGATCTGATCTGAGATCTGATTGGCAGGACCACGCAGGATGGCGGCGTCACCTCAGGAAGATGACGGCAAGACCTGTTGGGCTGGGTTCTATCGCGAGCCGGGGCACATGGTGATGGAGCAGGTGTGTGTGTGTGTGTGCCTTGTGACCCGGATTCAGACACAGGCGCGCTCGCACATTCGGTCACGGGGTTTGCAACTGCTCCACCTCTTAGACTCCGCGCCCGACCCTTGAGGGCTGCATGCCCGGAACCGTGCTCCTTGAAGCACTCTACACCACCATTTGTGGCTCTGACATGCTGTACATCAACCAGCCCCGTGAAATTGATCAGTGAGCACCCCATGCGACCCCCTTGCCACCAATGTTGACCGGCCAGCCTCACTTGCCCACCGGCCTCCCCAGTACTGACTCACTTTGGTGTTCCATTTCGACGAACGACCCTGATTCAACGCAGCTGCGCGGGCGCCTCAATTCACGAAGCCATTGCTCGCATCGTTGACTTGGTGCCCACCGACGAGCCCGAGCTTGACAACCCCTTTGGCCTGACCACGGTACGCATGCGCTCTTCCTCGCGCGAGACGTCCTCTTTATTGGCTCATTTACTGGCGGCTGTCATGACAGGACCAAATCGTCTTGGCGCTGCCTTCAAACGTACGTGACCCTCCCGCTTTCTTTCCGTATCCTAACAACCCAGCTGTCCCTCACAGCTGCATGTTATGACAGTATCTCCACTCTGGCATTTTCCGGGATGTGCCCCCAGAGCGCGCTCAAGCGCTCCGCGAAGGTGTAAAGTGTACTGGTGGTAAGCCTTCTCACCTTCTCTTTTGCCTCCCATTTCGTGGCCTCTTTACATGCGCCAAGTTTTTGGCATCCGCCTCTTCCGCCCCTCACCCACCCCTCTCATTCACTTGGTTGTGCTGTGCCGTGGCGGACGCACCCCACTTCAAACGCCTAGGCATGTCCCAATATTTCATTGGCCACGCAAGTCACTGCTACCCCATCCCATCAAAGGACAAATGGGGCCCCGGCGTGGAGCTGCATCATCTCACGGCTGCCCAGGTTACATTGAACATGCCAGCAAATTGACGCCCCCCGCCCCCCCCTTTTTTTTCTTATCTTCCTTGGCATCACATGCTTACCCTGCCCTTGCACGCCTTTTGAATGCAATTCAGCCCTTGGGTACCATCCTCTGGATGGGTCGCCAGCTTCCCAACCTCTTGCACAAGACGGTGCTGGTTCTGGGCCAAGGTCAAAACGGTACGCTGCCTTGTACCTTGATTGCTGGTCCCGCCTGCTCGAAAGTCATCACGTTTCTTCACTCGTGTTCAGGTCAACTGGCAACGCATTTGATGGCGTCGATGGGAGCGCGTCGCATCATTGCCGCCGACGTGCTACCTGAGCGGTTGGCCATCTCCACACATATGGGCGCCACAGACATTGTCCAGATTGATCCCGAGGACTCGGCCAAGGTCTGCTTCCTCCCCTCCCCCAAAATGCACCCGTCCCGTCACGTCGCCTACGGTTGATCTCGGCTCTGCCAAGTCAAAATCCAACCCAAGCTCCTCCAGTCACTTCACATCTCAATGACTCTACCTTGTCTTTGTCTTTCAGGCCGTGGCCGAGGTGCAGCGACTCACGTCTGGCGCAGGTGCCGATGTGGTGCTCGAGATGGTGGGTCACCAGGACTCCACCATCAATCTCTGCATTGAGATGGTGGCACCGAGTGGCCTCATTATGGGTATGTTTTGCATTTTGCGCTTGCTAATTTTCTTTCTTTTTTATTCGAGACCTTGGGCGGCGCAGGGTGGTTTACACGTTAATCACCATTGTGCCATTGGTCATGGGTAGCTTTTGGTGTGCCGGGCAACTCCTTGTATGGCAGTTTCGCCTTTGCTACCCTTTTTCGCAAGAATGCCAAGCTGGTAAGTGGTCTGAACTGGTCAAGTGTGACGAGTGTTGGCACAGGGCGTTGTTCCTCATGTTGTGTGTGTTGTCTTATTTACGCTACAGCAAGGATCTGTTTTCCCGTGTGCTCACGAAGACTTTCCCTTTGCGGTCGAGCTGCTGGCACAAGGCCGCATCAAGGCTGGACCCATCTTCAACACGGATCCCTTCTCCTTGGAGCATGCTCCCGATGCATTCTCCAAGAGCTTGTACGCCAAGCACACGGTGATGAAGGTCATTATTGAAATGCAACGGGATATGCCGGCCGCCATCGCTGCGGGCCACTTTGGGGTGGGTTCAGTCTGATGAGGGTTTCAAAAGTAAACCAAAAAAAAAAATTCAAATGTCAAATCTCAAAAAAAAAAAAAAAAAAAAAAAAAAAAAATAAGCTACCAGCACTCTCTGGCTATACTTGGTCACCGAAATCTGCTCAGCAAACACGGGGCGCTTTGCGCAAAGCATCATTCTGGCAGCACACCAAGACGATCAACGGCTGCACGCACAGCCGAGGCGATGTCCTGAACCGATGCCATGGCACCCACCCCTGTCATGTCGGGTCGTGTGAGAGGGGGCTTTACTGGCAGCCGAGCAATCGCGATGAGACTTGAACCGACCTGTATCCCCGCAGACAAGCGTTTTCGCAACGGGAGGAATAATGTCGACCCCGAGCTTGTGCAGAACGGCCGTCTATTGAAATCAAAAGGCGTGGTGGGTCATACCGCTCAGATCAGTGGGTGGATGTGCAACAGACTGACGCGGCCTTGGGCTCTGGGTGCCTCAAGTCGGCTGGGAAAAGAGGCGCTGCAGCACAAACCTGCTCGGCAGTGATGGGGTGTTCCCACATTAGCGTGTTCATGGCCGGAGCCACCAGGACGGGTCGCTTGAGATCCCAAGCCTGTGAACCAAGATGACGCCAGTCAGAGGGCTCCGGCTTGGTTGCCATGAGCCTTACGCGCAGCAAAGGCAAACAAGGCGGACGTACGCGGTATATGCAGGTGACGAGGTTATCACACAAGCCATGGACGAGCTTGGCCATGGTATTTGCACTCAAGGGGGCAATGACAAGCACATCGGCCCATTTGCGCAGCTCAATGTGCATGACGGCGTCTCCGCGCTTTTGCCAAGTCTAACATCATGGCAAACGGCGTGTGTGAGCATGGGGGTGCAGTGGCTGGGCTTGGCAATACACAAGAAGAGGGTGGTTGTGCAACGCACCCATTCGTCCCGATCGGTGAGAACGGGCAGGCTCAGCTCGCGCTCGGCGCGGAGAAAATGCTCGGCGTGGGCGGTTGCAGCAAGTTTGAACGTGGCGCCGGGGACGGCACGCTGGCAGGCTTCGACCAGTGACTGGGCTTTGATAGCGGCGACGCTTCCAGTGAAGCCAATCAAGATGCGCGGTGGGCGCACGGGCGGGGCGGGTGGTGGAGATGGGGCCTTGTCCGGATCAGTCTCGGCCACCACGGCAACGGCCTTTGATGCTTGCTGAGCGGGTCCCGTATCGTGAACAGCCGCCTGGTAGCATCGGTTGATGGGGAAAAACAGCCACGTCATGATCATGAAGCGACGCAGCGATGGTAGGCGCGCCGGGCGCGTACGCTTGCCTGGGCTGAAGGATTTTTGGGCTGCTTGCTGGCTTCATCTGCCGCTCGCTTGGCCGCGGGCACGGCCTCTGCTATCGGCGCAACAACCGGAAAAGGATCCAAAGTGGCGTGCATGAGGCTCGTGCACCAGCGCTGGGGACGAGGTCAAGGATGTTGTACCGAGAGATTCTGGCAAAGGTTCAGCACTGGCGTCGGTGCGGGCGGAGCTGGCGCGCTTGCTGCGCGTGGCTCGTCCTGGCTCGGCCATGGTGGTCAACTATGGCTGACGCAGTCAGGACCGGTGCTTGAACAATTTGTCTTTGGAGGCTCGGAAACAACCGGGTGGATCTCTCGGATGCTCTGTTGGACCCTTCCTGTAAAAGACCCAGGGCACTTTCGTCGGCGCAGCCAATGCCTCTATGGTCAGGGCATGGGCGCAATTCGAGACCTGTTGTGTTGCAGCCAAAAAAAAGAAAAAAAATAGATGAGCTGAAGCCTGATGAGTCAACCCCCAGGGGATCGTCAAACGCATGCATGTCGCGAGGAGCCTGTGGCGATCCGCAACAGCAGTAACGGTGGCGACGGGGGACGACAGCACGGGCACGGGCACCACACACACCTGGCGGAGTCACCGACGGGATGGAAAAAGTATTGAAAGCTCACTGAATTCGCCATCTACAAGCAGATTAAATTATCATCACTGTATTCGCTTAACTTGGGATTTTGCTGACAAATCAGGTCGTTTTTGTCAGGGCCTGTCAACTGACGCGTGTGTTTCTTTTCAACTGTGACAAGTATCACGCTTTATTGACCCAAAGTGTGACTTATGTTACAGTATAAAGTGTGTGGCGCTTTGCGTTTGGGATACGCCCCCTTGAAATTTCATTTGTTACTTAAAGTGTGACCGTATATGCACTATTCAACCAATAAATGAAAAAATGGTTTAAAATTGTGTGACTGGGCTGGTTGGCTATGGACCGAGACGGCGACGCGCGGTCTTTTCAAGTGATGGGGCCATGCTGCGCGGGATACCAGCTCCAACGCTATGAAGTCTCGGCCATCTGCCAGCAAAGTTGATCTGAATAGCCGCTCCCCTTCTGAACGATTTGATCCACAACGCGAGGAGGCAACGAAAGAGCGGAATGAGACAAGGTCAAGAGCATCACAGCTGGAAGAGAGATGAAGAACCAGATGAGAGCAAAAGGCGAAGAGAGAGGGAGAGGGAGAGGGAGAGAGAGAGGGGGGGAGGCCAAGGCGTCAGCCCGCCAAGCCCCGGCCCTAAGTCAAGAGCAACACAGAGACAGCGACATCATCCTATAGGAGTTTGAGAAGTTTGAGGAGAGAGAGAGAGAGAGAGAGAGAGAGTGAGAGTGAGAGTGAGAGCTTGAGAGAGAGAGAGCTTGAGAGAACTCGTGTGTGGGAAGAAAAAGATGACGACGGTACGCAAGCTAAAACTCCCTCTCTCTTTCTCTGTCTCTGTCTCTCATGCTCTCTCTTCTCTTTCTCTCTCTTTATCTTTATCTTTTCGTCTGCTCGCTCTCTCTCTCTGTCTCTCTCTGTCTCTGTCTCTGTCTCTCTCTTTCTCTTTCTCTCTCTTTCTCTCTCTCTTTTTATTTTTTCCAGCGCGAGAGGTGAGCAGAGCTGTCGGGGCACAAGAACGGGGCGGAGGGAGGGATGTTTGAAGCCCTGGGCATCGACGGCGGTGAAAGGCGGGGGAGGTGATTGCATTCAGATTCAAGCTTGTGAGATAGAGACCGTCTCGGGGTCAGCGGCATCTTCGCCCGGCATGCGTTTGGCATTGGTTCCAAACCCGTCTCCCCCCCTTTTTTTTTTCTTTGCGGGGGACGGGGCGGAGGTTGTGACCGCTCGCTCGGTTGCTCTCTCGCTCTCTCTCTCGCTCTCTCTCTCGTCGTTCCTCTGTGCTGGGTCACCTCATCTCTTTTTTGAGCTGGTGTATCGCGAGCCTCGTGCCTTGCTCTCCCGCTATCATCGCTCAGGGACCCCGCCCTCTGCCTTTTTCTTTTTTTTTCTCCTTCCTCTCTTCTTTGGCTCACGCCACGCCCCCGTCTCGTGCTGCTCGCACCACAGGCCGGTCCTCATCGACGCTTTCTGCCCTCCTGCATTGTATCATTGGATCACAACTTGTTTTTGGTTCAAAGACCCTTTGGACCTGTGAATCCACGACTCGCCATCTTTTCTCTCCCGTCCTCTTCTGGGCGCACGCTTGGCATTGGGTCATGGCGGCTGTCCTGAACGACTAGTCCTCCGATTTTGTCGTTTCGCCCGTGCCCTCTTGTCTTGCGCGTTCTCGTGTCGCAAGCACCGCCCCCATCCCCCTCTACTTTCCCTCGCCTCGCCAAGCTCGTTGCCCTCTTTCTTTCCCCCGCGCGGGATGGTGCGGCTTCGATCCGTGCGGTCCGGGCTTGGGGCATCGGCCCTGAATCATGATGGCCCATCCCCGCCCCTCTTCCCCCTCCTTTTCTGCCTTTTGGCCTTGACCCCCCTGCAGCTGGCTGCCGGGCAGTTGTGCCAAACAGAGTCGGTGCCCTGGACCCTTTTGTTCACCCATGACCGCAGTGCTGGTGGTGTAAGCCTGGACGGCACCAACGTGGCTACCAAAGCAACAGCCCCCACGCTGTCCACCTCCTATGCGGCCGCCATCTACTCCCGCCTTGATGAACTGGCCCAGACCAACAACAGCCTCGTGAGCTGGGATGGCTACTACTATTTCCGTCTTCGCTGGCCTGAAATCTGCCAGCATCCCTTTTATCAGTGTGATGACAACGCCACCGACTACGTCATTTGGCGCCAAACCTCCAACCCCATGTTATCCGATCAAGTGACTGGTAGGCATATGGGCGCGTGTGTTGCTCCCAAAACCTTTTCTCCCCACAAACCGCGCATCACGCACACACCCTCTAGCTCACACTCTTTCATCCATTCATCTCCTGCCTATTCATCTCCTGTCTATTCATCTCGTGACTATCCATCTCGTCCATTCATTTATTCCATCCCATCCATCCATCCGATCCATCCATTCCATCCATCCATCTCATCCATTCGTCTCGGCCCTCCTTGATTCGCAGGCTACGAATGGTTGGCGGGATCTGCTTTTGAGAATGCTTTTAGCGGCCTCCTCCCTGGCAGCAACGCCATTTTGGATGCTCAAGACGGCTTCAACTACTGGTACTCGGTTGGCGTTTATTCTCTCCTCAACGACTTACTGATGGGGCCCATCCCCAACGGCGAGGCGTTTGGGCTTGCCACCACTCGCGTCGAACTTGCCATCAAAGTATATGCCAACGAAAACGCAACCTTTGAGACTGGCTTTGGCACCACCTGCGGCGCCGAATGGGCCACCTGCTCCCCGGCCACCGGCGCCTGCACGTGTCCCACCGCCTACATGACTGGCGATGGCGATGATCGCTGCTTCAACATTGATGAATGCGCCGCCATGACTTGCCATGAGAATGCTCACTGCGTCAATCATTGGTTCGGTGCCACCTGCCGCTGCCGTGACGGCTACACTGGCAATGGCTACGCTTGCCAGGCCAACGAGTGCTATCTTGGCACCCACAACTGTGATCAAAACGCCGACTGCGCGGACACTCCCACCGGCTTTACCTGCACCTGCCGTGAAGGCTGGACTGGCGACGGCACCTCTTGCGCCGACATTGATGAGTGTCGCACCATGACCGATGACTGCGATATCCGCGCCGCCTGCCACAACACCATTGGTGGTTACAACTGCACATGCCCAGAGGGTCTCTCCGGCGACGGCCACACTTGCATTAACGAACTGCTGTTTTGGTACGATGCCTCCACGGGTATCACCAATGGCACCGTCTTTGACCTCAGTGGCAACGACATTCATGCCAATGCCACCGACACCATTTGGGTTGATCACCCCCTCTTTGGCCCCCGCTTCTTCTTCAATGGCTCCAACACCTCCCTGGAAGGTTTGTGGCCTGGCACCTTCTAGCGAAAGCCCCTGGATGGTACTTGTCCCCTCCTCACCTCGGCCACCTCACTCTTCTTGGCTCTGCCCCTGCACGCCACCCCACTCGTCAAAACGAAATGTAGAACTCCTTCGAGTTGACCTCGACTTGAGCCCGGACAACTACCCTGATATTACCATGGAAATCTTTTTTCAGCCCATTGAACCTGATTGGCGTGGCTACATTATCGATAGCGATGACGGTGCGATCCTCATTCCTCCCCCTTGGCTCACCGCTCGTCACCAAACTTGCTGCCTTGTCACTCTTATGCGCGCGGGCCTCTTTTCTGCTCGTCCTGCTTGTTTAGGAGGCTACGATCGCAGCTTTGGCTTCTATGACGAGCGCTACATCAGCCTGGATGTGGATGAACCCTTTGTGATGGGGGCTGGTACCGGTTCTCCTTTCAACTCGGGACTCGGCACGCCTTGGCCCCGATGCTGGCACATTGCCTTTGCTGTCTTCTCTCAGGAAGAGGAGCATGGCTCTTTCCTCACCCTCAACGGCTTTCAGGGTTACGGCACCACGGCCTACAATAACAAAGGCAGCAGTCTACTGACCATCGGTGGTTCAGACCGCAACGGAGGCATGGTAGGCTACATCAAGGACGTCAAAATCTACAACCGCGCTCTGACCCGCGACGAAATTTGGCTCAAATATCAAGCCGCGCAAAGTGAACTCACCTGCGAGTGTCTTTCTGGTTATCGTGGCAACGAAACCACGGGCTGTGTCGGTTCGTGCAAGCTGTGCGCCTCGCCCCTTCCACATCAAGCAGCCTTTTGGCGCTCGCAAAGCCCGGCCCTTCAGTGTAGCTCACGTCCCGCCTCTTGTCCCGCCACTTTGTTCCATGCTTGATAGATGTGGATGAGTGTGCCCTGTCGGAGGACGATTGCAATCCTTTGGGTCGAGCCACTTGTACCAACACCCTTGGCAGTTACAACTGCACTTGTAACGCTGGTTTTATCGGTGACGGCCGCACTTGCAATCCCGAGGACGTGGCCTGCGCCGTCTCCGTCTGGGTTGACGACGGTGACTGCTCGGCTACTTGCGGTTACGGATGGCAACGCCAAATTCGCGAGGTCATCCGCCCGGCTCAAGGCAGTGGCGCCGCTTGCCCAGCTCTCACCCGCGACATTGCGTGCTATAGCACAGCCACGTGTACCCTCGACACAGATGGGACTCCTCAGACTTCTGACGTATATGATGTCTCCATTTTGGTTGACACCTCTGCACTTGATAGCTCGGCACTTCGCGTGCCGGAGGTGGCCACGGCTGTGTCGGGGCGAGGTACCATCGTCCTTCTCGCCGAACTGGCCGAGGATACCCAGACGGCGCTTGAATACGCCTTCATTCCGGCAGGCAGTGCCAACACGGCCGCCTTTGTCAGCGCTCTGCGCACCGAGCTTGCTGGCACTGGTACCGTCCTGGCCAGCAATTTGCGGGATTCGTGCTTTTGTCCTGGCGAGCAGGACGCACGGTCTGGTCTTGGCTACTTTGGCGCTCCTTGCGGCAACAGCACGCGCCGTGCCCCCACATGCGGTGCTGGCTCTAGTGCCATCATTAACCGCGTGTGCAGTGTGGACGCCATCTGGCTCGACGCCGTGCCCAGCAACTGCTCAAACAGTGTCTTGCAAGCCATCAACTCCGGCTTGACCCCGTCCAACGCGCGCACGCGCTTAGCGGCTGCAGCTACCAGTGCCGCTGCTAGCTCCGGTGTGCTCAGCGCCACCGATGTCGCCGAGGTGGGCCAGCTTCTCTCCACCGTGCTTCTTTACCATCTTGAGGAGCAGGTGCAGTTGACGTCGCAGGATATGGTTTACGTCGTCCGTGCCATCTCTGGCGTCTTGGGCACCGAGGCATCTCAAATCGCTGCGGGACTCAACGTCACCACAAATGGCGCCGACTTTTTCGAAGAGCTGGAAGCGTTCCTCCTTCTTTACATGGACGACACCATGCCTGTCAATTCGAGCCTGGCCATGCTGGAACCCAACTTTGCACTTCAGTTGGTTCATGCTCAGGAGGTGGGCGTCTTCAACGCAAGCTGGCCTCCATCCTCCACCAGCCTTACGGAATCTGTTGTCTGCGAGGGCGTCGGTGCCAACCAGTCGTGCTCTGTGATCGAATACAGCGCCGAGGAAGCCAACTTTGACCCCAACTTGTACATTAGCCTCCCAGAGGAGGGTCTGGTGCGCGGCATGGCGGCAGAGCATGGCCGTCTCAAGTTCATGATGAGCGCCTTTGCTTCTGCTGCTCCCATGCCGGGCACCGGCGGACTGGATCCCAGCTCACAGGTGCTCATGGCCACTATTGCCGGCCTGGCAAGTGGCGCGACCTTGAACAACAGTTTCCTCACCTACAGCGCCCTTCCCACCGCCGTCAACTACACCGAGTGTGGCTACTGGGCTCCCGGCGGTTGGTCCGTGGATGGCTGCTCCCTGGTTGAGTCTGGCACAGAGGCCGCTTCACTGGACGTTGCGGTGACCGAACCTTCTGTCATGCATTGCCAGTGCAACCACCTCACGCACTTTGCTATTGTGGAGCGTGAGCAGCCCCAAGCCGCTCGCACAGAGCCCAAGCTGGCAGATAGCATGCGTTCCAGCGCTGCTATCGCGGCGACCGGTCTGGCTGCCGTGCTCTGCTTGTTCCTTGTTCAATATCGTCGTTACTCTGTCTCGCGCGTGGCCGTCATGCACCTGGCCGTGGCCGTCCTGGCCTATTTGCTGCTCTTTGCCATTACCGTGGATCGTACGGACGAGGAGGCTTGCCGTGATTACGCCATTGGCATGCACACAACCCTTACCCTGGCCTTTGCATGGACTGTGGTGTTGGCATTGCTGCTCACGTATGGTCTGAAGTTGCGCATGTGGATCGTGATGGTTGTTGGCTACGGCGCTCCTGGGCTGGTCATGCTGGTGGTCCCCGTGACCTTGCACCGCTCTGCTTATGGCCGGAACCGCAACGACTATCTGGACAACTACAAGCATTGCTACATTGAAGACAGCGGCGACATTTTCTGGGGTTATGCGGCACCATTGCTGGCCTTTGGCTTTGCAGCCCTATGCTTCTTTTTGGTGGCAATGATGCGCGCGCTCTTCTTCTGGAAGCCGCAGCCATTTGTCGAGGGCCATGCGCGACCACGACGCTCCCATGCCATTTCCATGGCCTTTTTCAATATGCTGCTTCTGGCTTTCTTGGGTGCCATCGCTGGCACTTCGGTCTATGGACTGAACGGCCGTGACGATGATTTCTACCGTCCGCTCTTTTCGGCCTTTTGCCTCTTTTATGGACTGCTGTTCTTCCTTTTGTACGGCTTGCACGAGATTAAGCGTTGTGTGGTTGGCCCAAGCGACATGGAAGACCCCGACGCACCGCCGCCCCGAACCTCCTTGTCCAAGACGGAAGCAGGCACCGGGGGTCCTGACAGCGATCATCATGGTGAGGATGGGCACGGGAGTGCAAGCGACGGCAAGGAGGCCGCCCAGGGTGAGTTGCAGCCAAGCATCGAGGAAGGCAAGGGCGTACCCCCAGTACCGGTGCCCGGCCACTGGTTCAGTCGTCGCAACAGTGGCACGCTGCGCGTCTTCACCGAACTGCCGGCACCCAAGGTGCCCAAGCCAAAGAAGGAGAAGAAGGTCAAGAAGAAGAAGATTGAGCCCGAGTTTTTCAACTTGGATGATGTGGTGCAAGATCAACCAACTCTGGACGCCGTGGATCTGGACGACTTGGATGAGCCGGTGCAGCTGCAAGAGAGCCGCTTGGCTGATGAGCCCTCGAGTGCACCCGCCGCACCACTTGTGTCTTCTGCCCTGTTGATTGAGACAGACATTGACGCGACCATCATGAGCCAGCTCTCATCTCGCCGCGCATCGCTGTCGCTGGACGATGGCGACGTGCCAATTGTAAATGCGCCCGACCCTGTCTGGCTTGACCGGTTCAACTTTTTGCCCGAGCGCCAGGCTGTGGTGCAGGTGCTGCAGGAGGCGCTCGTGAATTACGGTGCTGAGCTGGAAGAGCTTGAAGCCCTGGAGGCCGATGGCCTACTTGATGGCTCGTCTTTAGCGGGTAGTCACTATCAAGGTGATGGCCTGTCTCGTCAGGCATCGTCTCGTCAAAGCCACTCCGATGTAGCTGTTGGGGTACCGTTTGCCAACGCAGCGCGGGGTAATCGTAACGCGCGCGATTCAAACGCTTCCATCATGGACTTTGACTCCGACTACTATGGTGCCCCCTTGGACATGCCCGACTCGCGCCGCGTGAGTGGCGAGGTCTCCAGCCCTGTGGTGAACGAGTATTTGGAGACGGAGGCCGTAACCATGTCTCGCCGAGCAACGCATCGCTCAAGCAGTCCTTTCGAGGATTCAACTCTGATGGAAACCAATGATGCCGTTCGTCATGGTGAGGACGATGCTGGCGAGGAAGACAATACGGCGCCTGCGGCCGTCGAGGAGGACATGGCCTTGTACGTGCCCTACGATCAAAATGCTTCTCGCTCGTCGCGCGTCAAAGCCCAAGGTACCGAAGACCGGGACGCCGGTGTCTCTGAGCCCGCTTCAGACGTAAATGACGACATGGCTCTGTATGTGCCCGTTGAACGAGGTCAGCCCTCGGCGGAAAGCATCAATTTGCCAACGCCCTTGGCAGATCGTGGGAGCTCCACTCCTCTGCAACACACGGCTGTAGATGAAGACATGGCTTCAGAGAATGGCCTGGAATCTCTTCCGTCCGACTTGGATGTGCATGATGCGCAGGACGAGTAGTCGGTGTGGCGTTTTGTGGCGCCGTCTGACCAGTGGGTCTTTTTTCTGGGTTTCCTGACTTTTTCATTTGGCTCAACTTTTGGCTTTGGGCAGGGCACAAACTCTCCCATCTGCTCCACATGTTCATATTTGCGTGGGGTGGTTGTGGTAGTAGGAGTGTTTTTGAGTGTTTGTTTGGATATGGAGGCATGGGCTGTTTGTTTGTTTGTTTTCTGCATTGGGCCATTCGTCCTGGTCTCCTTTGGGTCACCACGCATGAAGAGAAGGCTCATTGATGCACAGCGCACCAGAATGCAGCCTTGCAAGTGCAGCCTGCAAGCCCGACGTTGTGCCGTGTCGTTTGCTTGTAGACTTATCCCGTTCATTTTATCTTTCTTTTTGACTTCATCTTGGGAGGAGACTACTCATATGTGTGTATCAATCAAGTTCCTCTTGAGGTGTCGTTCTACTCCTCCTCATGGTTTCCAGCGCGGTGGGCATCACTGTTGCTTCAGTACATTCGACACTTTGCTTGTGAAACGCTAGAGCCAACGCTTTATTGCAGAGGCATTATAGAGCGAGCTCGGATGGCTTTTAAATTGACCATTGCCTTCAAAGCGATCACCAACGTTTCATTGACGCCCGACTTGTTGCAAATGCAGCGTTTGTCCCCAAACGTACAACGACGTGAACGTGGTGGCTGTTTTGTCGGACTCGCCAAAAACAAGACTCAACGAATGCCATAATTTGCTTGTAACAACAAATTTTTATTTGTTTGAGTCGAGATTGTGCAGGCTGCCCAGGTGATTGCAAATGGAACGATCCTCTTGATCTTGCTTGCAGGCATGACCTTGAGCGGAGTCAATTGCTTCTTGACATCATCTCTTTACACTTTGATCCACCATTTTGCCTTACGTTGCAAGCATGAAGACGCTTTGTTTGCGAGAAGTCGCCTGCTTGTATAGCGGCAGGCCACACGGTACAAGTGACCCGGCTTTTGGGAAGGACGTCATTTTCTTTTCGACATTGATTCCGTTTAAGTTTAAATCATCGGTGCCAGCGACAACATGCAAACGCAAGCCAAGTCTCCGAGGGGACCCCGGGTTCCCAGATCGCGCAAGGTGCGAGTGACGGTGCTTGAGGCGCAGGAAAAATCAAAGTACTTCGCTGGCAACGAGTACTTTTGCGCCAAACTATTCGTGACGTCGAGCGCTACATCAAATCCAGATCCGGGCAGCGAGTTGCTCCAGCCCAACATGGTGGTCATGGCCGACATGTACCTGAAGAAGTACGGATCATACAGTTTGGAAATTCCAATCGAGGAAATTAAAGATCGACTCGTCAACAGGCCGCCAAGCCCCGTACTTCTACATTGCGGAACGATCATCCTTGATTCCGACTGCAAGAATATGTTTGTGATGAGGAACGGACCAGAGTCCTTCATCAAGCTCAAGTATAGGCTTGCGTTACTGGAGCCAGAGGGCTCGGAGCGTATCCACACAATTCTGCAGGCCACGGGCGAGAAGGAGACTTGCATGTGGAGCAACGAGGATCTGACGAATGTAATCAAGTGGAACAGAAGCAAACTCAAGCCCCGCAAATCTCTCAGCGTTCCAGGCGATGACGTCTTGAAGGCAACCAAGGGCATCGTTCAGAAAGCTGCGCAGGATGAGCTGGAGCGGCGCATGCGTGGCGAGCGACCCCATGACTACGATGGCTCCCCTATCTGGTGTGTGCCTGGAGGAATGCCAGATCAGCACCATCAGGGCCGATGTGAGGGCGCACTGCGAGCCGCTCGTCGCGAACTGCGAGAAGAAGCTCTTCAAGGAGACGGAGACATGGACGAGCTTTTGACGCAGTCCCACTTGAACTTCACTTTTGACATGGTCACCCCGGATGGAGGGACGTCACGGTCCAAGTTTTTCGTGTTCCACGTCAAGAATGCAGATGGCAGGCATCAACTGATTCCAAAAGGCAAGGAATTCCAACAAGTGGCATGGGATAGCTTTGGCAATATTGCTTCAGGCTTGACCCCGATGGGCAAGTACAGTGCATTTCTACGCTTTGCCACTGCCGATGAGTGGCGTAACGCGTTGGATGAGATCCAGGCAACGTTTGCTCCGAAAGCTGCTCGACAAACGTTGGACGTCGATGGCCTTGCAGTTGGGCTGCAAGAACTGACGACGAGCTAGCCCCCGTCTGTCGAGGTCTTCAATCCATCCTCGCCAGTATGAGTGTCACTTGTCCCCTTCCTATTTCTGTTCATAAGAATAACCGACCTTTCTTTTAGCCATTCTATTGCCTGATCTTCCACGTGCAGTCGACAGCAACTCCTGCCGGGGGTCAAGTGTCAATGCGATCGATGATGAGCTCCCAATTGACGTTTGTTGCACATCTCTTGCCCTCTCTTGACCGATACACCCACCTTTAGTGTGATGAGCTCCCAATTGACGTTTGTTGCACATCTCTTGCCTTCTCTTGACCGATACACCCACCTTCAGTGAAACTCTCATAACTTTGCTTGCTGTCCACCCATCGGGCTCGGATTTCAACAGAAGATCCAGAAGACCACCGAGCTTCAAGCGTCCTTCTCAGCCCTCGAGCACCTCAGAACAAGCCTTGAACCGCCCCCCCATAGCTCCGTTTGACGATGATCCAGGTTTGAGTTGAACACAAAAGCACACGTGCCATAAGTGACTATTATTAGATGATGCTATTTTTCGGAGATTTGGGGACAGGATGTCGGACTCGCACACACACACACACACACACACACACACACACACACACACACACACACACACACACACACACACACACACACACACACACACACACACACACACACACACACACACACTGTGCTTGCAAAGCGTTTAGAGCACACACACACACACACACACTGTGCTTGCAAAGCGTTTAGAGCACACAGACAGACGCACTCGAATGATCAGTGACATTTTCATCGTGACAGCGATTGTTGCGGATCGGATCGGATACGTTTTGCTGATGAGCGATCGACGACATGCAGCGTCAAGCGAGGACGTTTGGGGATGTGTCAAGGGGCAAGTGGAGATTTTTACGCACGGTGGAAGTGACGGTGCTGGAGGCGCGGTAATCCTCGAGATAAATTGCCGACAACGAAAATTTTTGCGCTTCGCTGCTGATCACCGCAAAAAGAGCTAAAACCCCGGATCCAAGCAGCGAGCTGCTCAAGCCCAACACAGTGGTTATGGCTGACCTGTACCTTGATGTGCGTGGCAGAAGCTGTATGGAGATTCCGATCAAGGAAATCGATGCTCGACGCATCAATGTGCCACCAAGTCCCGTGCTTCAATACTGTGGTATGATTGTTGTTGATCCCGACTGCGAGCGAACGTTTGTGTTGAATGAATCGTCAGAGTCCTTTTTTAAGTTCAAATTTGCGCTTGCATCGCTGTGGCCAACCGGCACGGAGCACATCCACAAACAGCTTCAGGCCACGGGCGAGAAGGAGACTCGCATGTGGACCAAGCAGGAGCTGAAAGCTGTTCGCAATTGGTACATAAGCAGACTCAAGATCATTCCGACTTTTCCTATTCCAGATGATGACTTCTTGGGTGAGACCAAGGGTATCCTGCAGCGGGCTGCCCTGGAGGAAATTGAGCGACGCAAGAGTGGAGAACGGCCCCCCGAATATGACGGGTCGCCCGTCTGGTGTGTGCCAAACGGTCGACCTGACTACATGCCTTGCGATGCCCATGTCCACGAGCAGCCTGTGGCGGCAGCCTTTCGCAAGCTGCGACAAGAGGCTATGAAGGATGGCTTCGAAGATCGCGTTTCAATGATGGCGAGTCCGATCGAGCAGGAGTTTACCTTTGTCACAACAACACCCGATGGCGGGAAGTCCCTGTCCAAGTTTTTCGTTCTCCGCCTCAAAGACGCGAAGGACATGAAGGGTTTTGCTCCCAAGGGCTGGCAGTTTAGGCAAGGTGAATGGGTGAGCCCCGAGAGTATCGCTACAGGCCTCATGCCCATGGGCAAGTACGGCGCCTTTCTGCGCTTTGCTACTGCCGAAGAGTGGCGCAGCGCGCTGGGTGAGATCCGGTCCCGAGGCGTTCGAGACACTGCTGCCGAGGAGCAGATTCCAGTCGGCGATCTTGCTTCCAAGAATCCAGTCGACGACCCTGACCTTCCTGGCGAGTTGCAGCGCCTGTCGACAAGCGTAGACGCCAGCATTCCCCCCACACCAGGAGACATGCCCACACTGCCAGGGACTGTTTGACTGAAACTGCTAATTCAAGCGACGCTGTTTTGAAGTCTCTCTTCTCAGTCAATACCGGACTCAAACGCTCCCCTCCTCGGGCTCCCATATACACCTTGTCCTCCGTCTCGCTCCCTATACTTGTTCTCCCTAGCTCCCACATACACCATGTTCTCCCTCCAACTCCCATACACACACGCTCCCATACACACCCGCTACACACGCTCCCATACACACACGCTCCCAGAGGCAGAGAAGAGAGATCGAGAGCCATGAGAGACAAAGAGAGAAAAGAGTAATAATGTAAACGATATTCACCAAAGAGAGGAAACGACGCATTGAAAATTACCACAAGAGAGACAAATGTTTAACAACAGAGACGAGGAGACGAAGACAGAGACAGAGACGAAGACAGAGACAAAGTCGAAGACAGAGACAGAGTCGAAGACAGAGACAAGAGTCGAATTGATCGACACAAAGACAGAGGAGGCAGAGGCAGTGAACAGAAGGCAGAGGCAGAGACGAAGACAGAGCCAGAGAACAGAAGGCAGAGCCAGAGCCAGAGCCAGAGAACAGAGGTATAGTGGCAGCGAACAGAGAGAGAGAGAGAGAGAGAGAGAGAGAGAGAGAGAGAGAGCCAAAAAGAGAGAGCGAGAGAGACAGAGACAGAGCGAGAGAGAGAGAGAGAGAGAGAGTCACAGAGAGAGAGAACAAACAAAAACCACAGCAGTTACATGTACATTCTTAGGCATTGCATTGTTGGTTTGTGGCCACAACAGCAGTTGTGTCTGGGTGTTTGTTTGGGAGGGACGACGGGGCGCCGAGTTGAAACGGCAGCGCCCGCGGATTTGAGCGCGCGAGTCGGCGGCGGAGAAGGGCGTCACTCTGGCCTGGCCACTTTCGCTGCTGCCTGGCTTTTTTCCAGGATACTCTCCGTGTCAAGTCTGACTGGTCGGTTGGATCTGCAACCCAAGGCGTTGCTCGGAGCAAGAGTGAGTTGAAGTGGCGGTCGTCGTGTGATGCGTTGACTCGTCGACAAGACGACTCGGGGTCCCGGGGGTGGGATGAACGGCTTTGCCGCCCCCTTGAGACGCCTTTTCATGCCTTGCCACTGCCCATGTGTGCCAGTGCAATTTGCTTGTTTGGCCTTGGTGTTTTGCGTGGGCGTTGTGTCCCCCTGACGCCACAACAAGAAGAACACGTCGACGATCCTTTTCCTTCTTGCACTGTTGATGGATCGCCGTGCTCCCAGGTGTTTGATCCTCACCCCCTGCTGATGCTCTGCACTGATCATGCCATGGGCTCTCTAGGTATCGAAAAAGCCTTGCGCATACACCCTCCTCCTGGTTGCAAACCTTACACCAACATGGCCGAGGCTACTTTGTTCAAGATTCGCGAGCCGGATCCACAAGAGCAGGATGCAGTCTACAAGGAGCAGCGCGCCAAGGGCAAGAGCGAAGTGTACAGTCGCGCCTTTGCCGCCAAAATCCACGAAGGCGAGGTCTTTGCTCGTTACTTTGCCGAGCTGCGGTGAGTACGCCCATCTCCCAACCCTGTTCAACTTTGCAAGCAGTGCTTCCCCAGAGTCCCATTCTTCTTCTCATCCTTGCCGGTGGGACCGTGACTGCATGTGGTTGCAGAGAACGCCGCCATTTAGCCAATGACTCATCCAGCTCCAAGTCGCTCAACACGGACAAGTCCGTTCGCAAGGTTTGTGCCCTCGATCCCGTCTTCTTACTCACCATCTCCGTCCGCTCCCCCATCAGCCGCCAACGCGCCGTCTGCCCTTGTCTCCTCACTCTCGCAACCTGCGGGCCTTCTTCGCATGCCTTGCCTTGCAACTTATGTGTCCTATGTGTCCTTATTACGCAGGCAAAGAAACGTAGCCTTGCCGACTTTACCGTCTCCAAGCCCTTGGGCGAGGGGGCGTACTCAACCGTGTACATGGCCACGGAGAAGGAGACGGGCAACGAGTTTGCCATCAAAATCCTGGACAAACAACACATTCAAAAGGAAAAAAAGGAAAAGTACGTCATCACCGAGAAGGACGTCTTCAACGCCATGGACTCGCCTTTTATTGTCAAGCTGCACTGCACCTTCCAAGACTCGCTCAAGCTCTACTTTGTCCTCGAGTACTGTGCCAACGGCAACTTCTTGGACTGGATCCGCAAGCTTGACTGCTTCGACGAGGAATGTACGCGTTTTTACGTTGCAGAAATGGTGCTGGCACTGGAACACATGCATTCTCGCCGTATCATCCATCGTGACCTCAAGCCAGAAAACATTCTTCTCGATGAAAACATGCACATCAAGCTCACCGACTTTGGTACCAGTAAGATTCTCGACAAGGATGCCAAGAGCGATCGTTCCGACTCCTTTGTCGGCACCGCCTTTTACGTCTCCCCCGAGCTGCTCAATGACAAGGTGGCCTGCCGCAGTTCCGATCTCTGGGCCCTGGGCTGCATCATCTATCAAATGCTCTCCGGCGGTGTCCCCTTTCGTGGAGCCAACGACTATCAAACCTTTCGCAAAATCTCATCCGTCGACTATGACTTTCCCGATGCCTTTCCCGAGGCTGCCAAGGACCTGGTGAGCAAATTGCTGCAACGCGACCCGGATCAACGTCTGGGTGCCGACACGTGTGGTGGCTTTGCTGCCCTCAAAGAACACCCTTTCTTCGCGGGCATTGATTTTGTGCATTTGCGCGACCAAGCACCACCTCGTATGGAGGCCTACCTGCCCGCCACAAGCCCGGGGGATAAGCCTCTGCACGAGCACGATGCCGCCGATGATGAGCTCGCCGACATTGAGGCCGCCATCTACTTGAAGAACCTTGGCGGTATTCAGGTGCGTCGAGTCGTTGGCTTGCTTTCTCTTTTGTCGTTGTCCCTCCCCTCCCACAAGCACACTCATTCCTTGCCTTCACTTTTGAAACGGCTTTCATAGGTGTCACCAAAGGAAGCAGAACGCAAGACGAAACTAGAAGCACAACAAAGCTCGCCATGGTACGCTGCTGTCTAACGTCCGGGGCGTGTCGTTGTTGTGCGTCTTTCTCACAAGAAATCATGGCCTGTGCTGTCGGGCAGGCAAAAGTTCCTCAATCCAGGGGAGCTGATTGTAAAAACGGGCCTGATTGACAAGCGCAAGGGAATGTTTTCAAAACGGCGACAACTCATCCTTGTGGACACGCCTCGCTTGATCTACGTGGATCCCGACACCATGGAGCTCAAGGGCGAAATCCCGTGGTGCGTAGGCGGCGTGCATTGGGTCCTCGTCCATTCCTAGCCCATTGTTTAGTTTTCCCTTACTCCGTCCACAGACCATACTATTGCGTCTCACTTTGGGTGGCACATGCGCCTACACATGTTTCCTTTGCCGCAGGTCGCTGAGCATAATGCCGCAGTACAAGAACATGAAGACTTTTTTTGTCCATACGGTATGAGTTTCACTCCTATTGTGTTGTCGGATAGCGTTGGCTCGAATGTACCTTCACCTCGCAATCCTGCCCTCGCGTCTGGTCGTTAGCCCATGCGAACGTACTATCTGGAAGACTGTGAACGTGCAAGCATCACCTGGGTGGACGCCATCCAACAACTGCTCCGCCTTCAGAAGCGCCAGCAAAAGATGTGAAAAGAATGCTTCCACCTTGCTTCGTGTCCGCCTCCCCTCTTGGGGCTGCGCCGTGTTTTCTCCCGCCTGCACTGTTCTTTCGTTGTCTCAGTTTGTTCGCCCTGAGTTGTCGTGTGACGGCCCATCCTGACGCGTGCTTGGCATACCGCCTTGACCCATGATTGTTGACTAACCGCCCTCTTCTTGATTCCTTCATCCTTCATCGCTGTTTTTACTTCTTCTCTTATTTTTTTTTTTTTTTTTTGTCCTTTTGTCATCCCTCATGGCAATTGAGGAAGCTCGAGTCAATTTCAGGGCGGCTTCAGCAGGCATGTACAAACTGAAAGGAAAAGAAGACAAAAAGAGCAGACGACTGCGACCATTTCTGAAGATATAAAGACAATATTCGGACTGCACACAAAGAGAGATCGCGGGCGTTGCATGAATAAACCCAAAAAAAAAAGAAAAAAAGAAAGGGAGAGAAAAAAAAAAAGAAAGAAAGAAGAAAATAAAAGGCAACTCAAAAACTGTTAGAACAAGCATGACAGGACGCGTCACGGAAGACGGACAAGGAAACAATAAGACCCAGGTGGGAAAGTAGAAAAGTCACAACACCCTTAAGCACAAGACCACTTGAACACAGAGCAGAGAAGCCACGCGAGCCTGAATTAAAGACACGTGAAAGCTTGACAACAATGCACCAGCGGTAGCCCAAGGTCAAGCCAGATGAAGCGTGGCGCCCAGCGCCAATCGCAGCCTGAAACATGACAAAGACGACAGAACGGATGGATGATGGCCATGGAAAGCACTCAACTTAAAACATGTTCATGAGGGTGGCGTCGCCCGCCGCGTTGTCGGCATCATCGTCATCATCCTCGATGAACTCGAGATAGCCATCGGCGCCGCCTTCGTCGGCGGCGGCGACCTCGGGCGCGGGACCTTGCTCAAAGAAGCTGGTTGCGGCACGAGCTCCCATCTCGTAGTCATCGGCGCCGGCATCAGCGTAGTCTTCTAGGGACTGGAGCTGTTGTTCTTCGTTGGTCGGCATGGGTTCGTCGCTGCCGCCGAAAATGTCGCCAAAAATGTCTTCTGTCGCGACCAGGTTATTGCGGCGCTGTTCTTCGGTCGTCATGGAGATGGCGGCTTCCGTTACCGGGGCTGGGGGCGGGGCGGGGCTGGTTGGTTCCTGGAGGGGCTGAACGTCCTCGTCATCCATAGCCACGGGTGGGGCCCAGGCTTCAGGACCATCCTCGCCAACGTCAAGGTAGCCGTCGTTGGTGGCCTCTTCTTCGGCGGCGGCACGGGCGCTTTCCGCACGAGCGCGGCCCAAGATTTCATCAATTCGGGCCTCTGCCTCGGCAATTTCCTCGGCACCACGGCTAAAAGTGGACTTTCCGCTGACCAGGCCGCGTTGCTCTTCGGTGCCCGGCATCTGCGACTCTGCCATTTCGAGATAGGCGTCATCGGCATTATCCTGGTTGACGGGCGCAGGGGTCTCGGCGGGTTCACCGTCGAGATCGAGATAGCCCGTTTCATGCACAACGGGCGATTTTGAGGGAGCCGGTGCGGCTAGAGAGGCGGCAGCACCCGCGTGTGACAACGGGGTGGCCTCTGAGGGAATGGGCTCTTCATCAAAGTCAAGATAACCGTCAGTGTGTTCCACGGCCGCGGGTGGTGGTGGTGGTGGTGCCTGGCGCTCGGGAGCAAAGGCTGGTGTCTTGGCCAGGCGTGCCGTGTTGGATTCGGGTTGCGTGACATCAAGGTAGCCGTCGGTGTGGGCTGCTGCTTGGGGCTCCGTGACATCAAGATAGCCGTCGTTGTGAGCAACGCCAGCAGGATGGGACTTGTCCTGGGGCTGATCAACGTCGAGGTAGCCATCGTTGTGAGTAACGCCACCAGCCGGAGGGGCCTTGCCCTGAGGTTGCTCGACGTCCAGGTACCCGTCAGCATGCTCGAGGGGATGTTCCTCGTAGCTGGCGTTGTTAAGGAGGACGGCGGGACGGCCATCCGCTTCCACAACGTCTTCCAGATAGCCGTCATTTATCATGGCAAGGTTGCTGCTACGGCCATTGGCGGCAGCACCCGATTGTTCCTGATATGCGCCGTTGGTCATGGCTGAGTGTGTGTTGCGGCGCGACGATGACTTGTCCTTGATTTCACTCTGTTCAGCGCGTGCAAGTCGGTCACCATGGATTTGGCGGGGGCATGAGCACATGGTTCAAGCGAATTGGGCTAAAAAAAGCGTTTGCAGCAAGATTTTTGACTTGATGGGAAGCGCGGGATGGACAACCAACCTTGGAGCGGCGACGGGATTCCCGGCGACGAACTTCACGGTCAATGGAGGTTTCCGACACCATGGGCCCAGCGGCAACGCCACCATCGTACCAAGCTTCTTTCTTTTCTTCGCGATATTCCTGGACATCAGCGCTTTTGCTCGTCTATGCATCGTGTGGAGATTGTGAGGTGTGAGGCGCCAGCAAAGCGAGGCGAGGTTTTTCTCAGTGGGAGGTCAAAAAAAAAAAATAAAATAAAAAAGAAGTGTTGAGGCGTCTGGGTGCTGGCATCACCCACCTCTGGACCGATGCAGCCCCCAAAGCAGTTGGCAAGAATGAGGAAGACTTGAGCGACAATCATCAGATAGATGCAAAGGCCCGGCTTCCAGGGATTGCAAAAGTGGTAGGCTTTCTCCGAGGTGATGTCGTACTCACAAGGCAAAGCCTGCGACAGGAAGCGTTCAACGCGAGTGAGCACGCCAATGAGAGAGAGGAAGAGGCAGAGAGAGACAGAGGAAGAGGCTGATGCGCGCAGCAAGAAGATAAAGGCAACAGATAGGAAGAAATACAAGCTGGTTATGGGCCGACGGGGGCGGGGAGATGTGAAACAACTTACTTTGGAATTGTCAAAGCCAAAGGGAAAGATGATCATGGCCAGGAACAAGAAGAAGGCTATATTGCGCGGAAGGGAGGCAAACACGGCTAAATGAGCGGAGGCCGGCAACAACAAAGAGTGGCTGTGTGTGTTGTTGGAAAGGGGAGGGAGCGTGCGCCTGTCAGTCGGTGACTGTTTCTTTCTTCTCTCGTTATCATGGATCGAGCGCAGAAGAGAGAGACCCCCCCCCCCAAAAAAAAAAAAAACACATATAGAGGTTCACGACCCGATTCCCCCGTATCAAGTTCAAGACTCAGCTCAAGTCACGTCAGGTCAGATAGACCATCAGGCAGCCAGACGGCCCAACACACACACACACAGAAGGCTCTCCCTCCCTCTCTCTCTCTCCCTTTGTGCGTCATTGAATCGCGGAGCCACACACACACACACACACACACACACACAAAACAAAACAAAACAAAGAAGAACAAAAGAACAAAAAGAAGTAGAAGAAGAAGAAGAAGACATCATCGTTGGATATGGCAGCCACTTTTCCGGGCGGAGGGGGAGGGGGAGGACATGAAAGGCAGAGGAAGATCGTGCTCGTGCTCGTACTCGTGTGCTCGTGCTCGTGCTCGGATGTTTGGATGGTGTAGCAGAGTGCGGGGCAACTTACTGGCAACCCAGGCAAGACGTTTGGCCCAGCGGAGCATCCAGTCACGGGCACGTTTGTGACGGGTGGCATGAGGTTTGAAGATGCCATCGATGCAGAGGCAGATGGCCAGGACCGTGGCCACGAGGACAAGAATGATGGCAAAGATGAAAAACACAAAGGCCGCCGTCCAGGCGGGGTGCGTTTCATACTCGCGGATGACGCTCACTTGCCGCGAGGGCGGGAAGCGCGACTTTGACACGATCCAACGCTCGTCCAAAAAGGCCACCCAGCTCAAAATCGTCGCCACCACCAACAGTATACACCACGACCCCACCCAAAGCGCCCGCCGCGCCATCTTGCCGACGCGAGGGCTTTACAGCCAATCAACACACACACACATATACGCACACACACACACGCGCGCGCGCTTGTATCACCACCGCACAACACAGCCCAAAGCCGCCGTGTCGAGGAAAAATGATCGCGGATCGAGTCACAGAGAGAGAGAGAGAGGGAGAGAGAGAGAGAGAGGAAATGCAGAGGTAAGAGAGAGATAACGTAGACAGTCGATATCCTAGAGGTACTAGCTTCTCCAAGCATATCAGGCAGAGATGAGGTCAATGCCGACAAAGTTCACAAGCTTAAAACAAACACTATGAGGGACGTCATTTAGTAGAGACAAGGACCTCAGACGAGAACTGGGACAGAGAAGGATTCAGCACCTGGCTGCAACATACAAAGAAAAAATGGGTGGGGCGGAATTGCTTGCAAGCAATTTACAGCGGGCGAGGTTCGTCGCACAACAAGAGAGAGAGAGTGTGTGTGTGTGTGAGTGTGAGAGAGGGAGAGGGAGAGGGAGAAACAGAAACACAGACGCTTTGCCCTGATGTGCGTGACCTGACAGCAAGCGCGCACACACACACACACATACAGAGCGACAGGGGCAATGGACTGCCCGCATCTGACCTGCACACGGGTCCGGTCCGGAGGCTTTTGAGAGCCAAAGGCAAAGGGCATCCTAAAGGGCATCCTTTAGGGCATCCTAAAGGGCATCTTAAAGGGGCATCCTAAAGGGGAAGTAAGGGGGGAGCCGTATTATGCAAAGCGTGATAAAGGGTATACTAAGGCATGGGTGTGGACTTGTTACACTTTGTTACACTGATGGTAGTCGCTTTCTCTCTTGCCCTCTTTCACTTGGTAGTGGAAGCCTTTTGCTGGACACTTGAAGTGTATTTGCCTGGTGTGGCACCAAGAGTCGGGGTACGATACGAGCGATTGCTGGTCAAGTCATTTTCCATTTGCTTCTCTCGTCTCTATTGCTGGCCACGAAGAATGAGCAGTCATGCCCTTGACGAGCTCACGGCTCTATTGGAGCAGCATGTAGATGATCCGGAATTCAGCTTCACCAAGGCCATTCGCACATTTCAACCAACATTTGTCCGTGAGAATGCTTTTATCATTGACGGGTGTGTTGAGTTCCACCCAGACTTAGAGGTGGATGAAAAGGCAGTAAAGCGATTCCAACATGTTTGCGTTCTTCGCAGGCAGATCATGTCTCAACTCCAACAGCAAATGGAGCAATTTGATCGATGGTGGACGGACAGTATGCCCAATCAGCTGCAAACCGAGGACCAACAAGACCAGGTCCAATAATCGCTCTTTGTATGGTAAAAATTTATGTTTGCGACAATAACATGTTTAAATTGAGCTTGCATGCTAGCATTATTTTCTTTTTCATTCACCTGCCAAAATGGCGCGACCTTCTTGGCTTCACGGCAAACTAACGCGCGAGAAGACAGATGGTGGGTTCCGCCCCTCATGCTTCTAACTGACCGCATTAAAAGCAGCTCATGGCGGTGCAATAGAGCTTGTGATGCGAAATGGCGGCGAAGATGGAACCTTTTTAGTGTATGAGAAGGATGACTCGTCACCGCAAGAGCGAAAATTCGTTTTGTGTGTAACATACAAGGGCAAGCCCACACATCACTTGATCAAGAAAAGCGGCGAGAACTGGACCTTGAACGGCAAAGTTTTTGGTGATCCAACTTCTCTTGTCAAGGTACGTGGATGCGAACCAAGGATACCAACGATGCCTTTGCATCCCTCACCTTTGCCGTGTTTGCAAGCAAAGTTGATCAACCAGCTTGCAAAGGACACGCCTGATTGGCCTGTCAAACTCGTCACGCCAATTCGACGCCCGCCACCATTGTTTGATCATGGCTTCATTTCTAGGGCAGAAGCAGATGGTACGGCTCCTGCAATCGCGCATTCATAGTGCTCTGAGCCGTTCTTCTCATTGCGAGTATTGATAGCAACAATGCAGAAATTTGCTGAGGAAAATCTTGGCGGAGACGTGAATGGCGCGTGGTTCCTTCGCCGGAAGATGAATGAAGAGAAAACAGAGGTGCGTTGCCTGCACAACAAGCACAGTAAAACGCAAACGACGCATCTCATGCCAATCGGTAGTTTGTCATCGTCCTTGGATTCAACGGCAAGGTGACACACCACCTGGTGGTACCAGACGAGTCTGGTTTTTTGGTTGTGAACAAGAAACACAATTCTGGCAAGAAGGACATTGTGGCGGTGCGTGCGAACTTCGTCACAGAAAGCTTCTTTTTTTTTGAGGTGAAGTTTGCTAATCCTCATTTCGCAATTTTTATTTAGCTAATCCAAGCTTTGAAAGAGAAGCCAAGCTATTGGCCTGCAGACTTGCTCCATGTCATCAACCGCATCGGCAAAGCTCGGTACTTAAATTGCCTGCTGCCATGTTCTTGGCATTGTTGCGCAAACTGAATGAATTCTCTGTACAGGTCCCGTTCTGGATCAGTCCGCTCGCGCTCTGGATCAGTCCGATCTCGTGCTGGATCTGTTCGATCCCGATCAGGCTCTGTCTCTTCCAATCGGTAAGTTTTTCGGCCAGGGAAATCCATGATATGGTTGATGCTATTTGTCAAGCCTGCCTTCATTTTGGTATTATCTAGCTCTGTTGCGACGATTGATACAGTTGTCAGTGAGCAAGGCGCCAGCGGGCCTCTGCCTGCTGCTGGTGCAACAGCATCAATGGCCGACGCAGGTGTGAATCAGGATGTCACAGAAGTCAAAAGCTCAAAGGTGCCACAGTCTGACCCCGTGGCTATCCAGCAGCAGCCTAAAGGTGCAAAAGAAGGAAAGGCTGTGCAGGAAGAGCTTGAATCAAGCACGGCGACATTGATGGCCGACTCTGTGCAAACTGCTTTGCCACCGTACAAAGAAGAGGACTCAGAGTCCGTGCATACGACTGTGACAACCATGGATCGACCACCACTTCCATCACATGATCAGGTTCGCAGTGTTGACGCTTACAAGCACAACACCTCAGCCATTCTTGACAGAAGTGACACAGTCTCTATTCAGACGACGGTTACAAGTGTTGAGCAGCTTGAGGCTGCCCCAGCAACAGGTGGCCAGGTAAGCAAGGTGTCATCCTCGCTGCTTCGTTCGCTTGACCATCCATTCGACGTCTTTCTCATCTTGCGATCTTGAATAGCCTGCCTTTCAACTGCCTGTTGATGATCATGAAAGCCTGGTGTGGTTCTTGCAAACCCATCCCAAGCGTCGCCTTACCTTGACTCGTGACAACGTCACTCAATCGTGGGGAATGGAGATAAATTCACGGTACGTGACTTGTATGGGGGTCGGTGCGTCCTTGAAGAATACTCTCATGCACCCACCACTGCATGTAAAGGTCGCCTCCATTAGTAAAATCTGTTGCGCCACACGGCGTTGCCGCCTCTGCTGGATTGCAACCGGGCGATTGCATTGCATACATCAACAACCAAGATATGACTCGATGTGACATTAGCTACGTGCTTCCCACCATGAGAAGTGCCAGTACGTACCACCTTGTTGCATGACAAGGAGTTTTCGTCGCATCAAAGGCCTGATGACGGGTCGTCTGCATCCGATTAGAAACGATGGATATCCTTGTCATTGATCAAACCATCGCCAGTATCGGTCATTTCGAAGACAGTATGTAAAGCATGCCTTTTCTCGAAACTTTGTGACAAGGGTTTTGTTCTCACTCAGTGTTTTGCGCCTGATAGATCAATTTTTGAACGACGGTTACGCATCAGATGAATGAGCTCAGTCAGAAGTACCGCTCCGTAGCCGTGCCATAACGTGCTCGAGTTGAATCGATATTTCTATGCCCCATGTACCGTGACGTGCTTGAGTTGAATTGATATTCTTATGCCCCCACTTGCGAGACGATCGTGTTGCATTCATCGAGCACCCGCAGTTTTTCTTTCGCGGCCGTGCGCTGCGTGTTGGGTGGGTCAGGTGAGTGCACGGGTGCGTGCAGGCAGATGAAATGGGGGCGGCGCATGCGATTGTGTGCGTACCTCTTTGACCAGACGGGGGTCTTCATCAAGCAGGCTCAGGTCGGCGCCGGCGCCATACAGTTCTTGCACCAGCTGTGCCAAAACCGGTAGTCAAAAGGATTGAGGGGTACAGCGTGTGTGAGCCAGGCCAAAGAGAGGAGACAGGAGGTAGCCAGCGATGAGCACGGGATGAAGCGGACCTGGTGATGAAGCTCTTCCTGGAGCTGGGACACCATGAAGGCCATAATCTAAACCAGGTCCGGGTAAAGCGACGGTCAGAGAATGGCAGCAGGCCACCGCGAAGCAACAGTCTCGACGCAGGAAAGCAGCCCCAACACCAAACAGCAACCCACCGTCTTGGGCACCATATCCGTAATGGTCTTGCGAACAATGGTAAAATAGGACGTCACGAGCTGGGTCACAATCTGCAAAAACAAGCAAACAAACAAAAACGAATCGCAGCACCAGGCCTCGGTCAAGGGATGGACCTGGCCGCGACACCCGCAGGGGAACAAGAACGCGCACCTGCGTCTCCTGCGAGGCATCGGGTGAGCTGTCGTCCTGCAGGGCTTGTGAGATCTCCTCTACCGAGGGGGAGTTGAGCACGGGTTCCTCCTACAAGACCGCCCGCCAACACAAGGTTTGGCACGTCCGTGAGCTGTGTGCCACATCAAAGGCAAGACAACGGTGGACACTCACCGGCTGGCGCTTCATGCTGTTCAGCAACATGTTGAAAAACCCTGGGTTACCACCCTGGCGAAAGATTGGTCACAAACGATCGGAAATAAGTGGAAAACAAAAGAAGGAGAAGAAGAAGAAGAAGAAGTGCCAAGATGACAATGGACTTGGTGACTTGTCAGAACCGCACCTTGGCTTCTTTGCGAGCGGGCTTGGCATTGGGACCATAGTCCTCCAGGCGCTCCGTGCCCGGGGAGAGGTCCTGGATGAAAAAACGATCGGCAAGCGACGAGCCCCCAATGAGCAAACGGAAGGACAACTGAGCAAGCCAGCAGACATGACACGTACCTCGGGCAGCATGGCCACAGGTTCAGCCACTGGCGCACGCTGGTGGCACCCCGTCCCCGCAGCAACAAACACAAAGGCACAATGACCAAAAGGAACAAGAGAGACGACGGATGAGCCATGCGTGAAGTTGGTGCACATCTTCATTCTGCAAAGCAATGGACGGTGTACCCAGACTCGAAGATGTCAAAAGGGTCATACCGGAGTGGCAAACAGCGACTGAGGGTTCTCAAAGTCTGGGTGCTTCGTGTTGATGTATGACATCTACGCACGGGCAAACACACAAAGCGAATTGACGGGGCAGCCGTGAAACACAAAGTGAATATAACGTGGGACTTCGACACGAGTCCAGGCCTGCCGCAACGCACCTCCACGTGGATCAGGTTGCGGATCATGTCCAGGGTACGGGGAAGGCAGCGCTCGAGAAACTTGCGAGCGCAGTCAAGGAGACGTTCCCGGAGAGCCTCGAAGCGAGCAAGCTCACGAAGCTTGAGGCATTGGCGGAGCACGGCCAGAAGCTCCTCGTGGATGAGCTCAGCGCATTGCACGCTTGGGGACTCGAGACGCTGGATCTGCTTCTTGATCAGGGCCTCAAATGCGGCTTCGGGGATGAAGAGGGAAGGACGAGGCCCAGCGGCGTTGCGAATCTCGGCCAGAATCTTTTGCGAGTCCAGGCCTTCCATGGCGTCCATCTTGTTGAGCGCGCCACCAAACGTGTAGTGGAAGATGTGGTAGATGCGAGCACCCGTCGAGAGGGGGAGCTGCTCATCGCTGGCGCGCATCATGGCACCCGATCCTGATTCGAGGCACCTCCAGAGATCATGAGCAAGCGTGCGTGTCGACACAGCTGATGCGCACAGCCCGAGGTGCAAGGGCAAACAGCAAAGCTTTACAGATCAAAGACATACAAAAAAAAAAAAAAAAAAAAAAAAAAAAAAAAAAAACACTTCCCCACCCCTGATCTGTTAAGAATGGAACAAAAAGGCATGGAGGGACGAGACAGACCGCTGATGGAAGCTTTGACCGCCTCTGCGTAGCGCATGATGTTGGTGAGCAACGTGGCACCGCGTGTGGCGTCATCCTTCAACGGCTCACCAAGCTCCTGCACACGCTTGTGCGTTTGAATCTACCTCACCCACACGTCCAAAGCGAGGAGATGCGGCAGATGAGGCAACGCGAAACCCGGAACGGGGTAAGCAATGGGTGTTGCGCCCACAGTACCTGGAGGCTCTTGATACGCTGCTTGAGATCAGGCAGGCAGGCGCGAATGTGTTGGAGCAAGAGGTGATGCAGGGTATCGGCAAGAAAAGCGCAACCGCAACGGTCGGCCATTTCCGGGTAGTGGGTACGGAAGAAGCGCTTCTCGTTGTCCAGTGAATCCTGTTTGTGGTGATACAGATGTAAGCGTCGCGTTGGATGAGCCGCATGGGCCGCACACCCTCGGCTTGTGGGTACGCACCTGAATCGAGGTCTTGCAATTGATATCATTCTGGCTGCGATTGACAATACCGATGATGCCAAGCTTGACGGGAAGCACTATAGCCATGAAAAACGCAGAGGATGAGGAAAAGGCTGTGTGCGCACTGCACAAAGGGCCAGGAGGACATGGCTGCAAGCGGTTCCAATGTACCTTCGCCAGAGAGAAGGGCCTTGGCATCGGTGCCGCGGTCCATAAGGTCGAGTTTGGTCACGATGGCAAGGGTGCGATCCCCTTGGGGGTCGACCTCCTACCAGAGCGAGAAGGTTGCAAGACATGGCGGATGAAGGATGAACCCTGTTGGGAATAGTGGGGGCAAGCGCTTCTTGTCCGAGCGGGCCGTCGGAAAGGTGAAAAGAGTACCTTGGCGATTTGGAGCGAGTCAGAGTTGGCAATGTCTGCATTGGCGGGGCTGACGGCAAGGATGAGGCTGTTGGGGTTGTCAATGTAGTGTCGCACAAGGCGGCGAATTTGCGGGCCAATATCTTGAGGTTGGTCAGCCACGGCCACTTTGGTGAGACCGGGCAGATCCACCAGGGTCAGATTGACAACGTTGGGGGAGTGCACCCGCAGATGAATGGGCTCGTTGCTCACAGCCTTTGTGCAAAAAAAAAGAGTCGAAGAGGATAATCAGTTAGGACAGCGCTCGTTCAAGCCCAGCGCCAAAATGGGAACACAGAAAATTCACGCACCTTGCCGGGCCCAGTGATGCGTTCAGTCTGATCCACAATCTCTTGGCGCACTTGTTCAAAGTCGCGAAACACCTGGAGCAAGGGCAAGGTCAAGGACGGGGAGGAAGGGCGGAGAGGATGTGGAAGAGTGAACAAGACGAACAAGAAGAAGGAGAAGCACAAGACGGAGATGAACAAAAAGCAGAAAAAAAAATTAGCGACCGGGAGTTGGGAACAAACCTTGCCACCAGCGTGTTGGAAGGTGGCCCATTCTGCGGCCAAAAATCCACCAGGACGCATGCAGCGGGGACGTAAGACGACGACGACAAGGCGCAAACATTGCTGCAGGCGAGTTGGAACGAGCAACGAACCATCATCGGCGGTTTGGACGAGCTGAAGCACGAGGGGCACGCGAGTGACAATGCCTGTGCCACGAGGCAAAAAGTCTTTGCCGACCACGTTCTCCAGAATGGAACTTTTGCCACTGCTCTGCTCGTGAGACATGCGCAGGGCGGGGTGGTCAGCGGGCGATGATGCCTGAGAGGGGCCACGTCATGCCATGCGAACCGAGACACAAACAGCGGAAAGGGTCGAACCTGGGCGCCCACAACAACGATTTGGGGCAGCTGAATCTCGCTGTTCTCCCCGACAATGTTGAGCACATCCTGCAGCTTGTTGATGGTGGGAATGAGCCGATCCATGATGGCGGTGGAGACGACCAAGTGACGTCGCACGACTCCCAGGCTATGGGCACATGCAAGATGAGCAAGAAACTGAGAAAGAGGTCCCCCGTGCCCTTGACAAGGCATGACACAATATCCCCAAGACCTACTGCAGTCCCCTCCTGCCTCTTTCTCTCCCTTTCTCAGCGCAGGCCTCCGGCAGCCCCTGCACCGTCAGCCTTGCCTCACTCTTGCTTCTGTTGCTCGCAACGTGACACCCAAAAGAAGAGAGAAAAAAAACGGCAGCACACACACATAGATGCCTCAGATACACCGCAAGACGCCATGGTATCACACCGGCACCCCTCCCCTCCTGATACACGAGCACTGCCAGTGCCAGTGCCCGGTATCCCTGCCGCATGGACTGCCACTTGCCACTGCCAATCGCCTTTTTTTTTTTTTTTTTTTTTTTTTTTTTTACCTGAAGTCGCGTTGAAATGGCACTGGACGGCTCCAATGTAAACTTTATCCCTGGGAATTGTAGTGCGGAGTTAACTTCCCACGGTGGTTGATTACTTTAAACCACTCTTGCGAAAGACAGGAGTTATTTTTCGAGGGGCAGTTTATACTTTGTATGACCCTTGCAGGCACATGACTTTAAAAGTATTTTACTATAGTTCCCGAGGTATACTGTTGAAAGGGTGAGCAAGGCGACAAGGCAGCGCACAAAGTATTTTGGTCCGATCGGACGTGCAGGGATGGCAGCAGCATCGTCAGCGGCGTCGCTGTGGTGGGGGACGTATCCGGCCAAGGGGCTGGGGACGCCCACGGGTCAGGGCGAGGGGCTGTGGCGGCAGGACCCCGTGACGGGGGAGGCGGAGCAGGTGCTCACGGTACCGGCGGCTTCTTTTATGGTGGCGCATCCAACGCTGCCGTTGCTTTACGCCGTTTGCGAGACGGAGGCGTCCAGCGTGATCGTGGTGGACGTGAGCGATGCCACGGCGCCAAAGGTCGCGGGGACGTGTCCGACGGGCGGAGCCTTTGCCTGCCACGTCTTGCTGAGCCCCGGTTTGGATGCGCTGTACGTGAGCCACTACGGGACCGGTGAGCTGGCCGTCGTGCCACTGGTGGCAGCGACGGGGGCGCTGGCGACCGAGGAAGGACCGAGCCAATTGCTGGGTCACCAGGGCTCCGGCCCTCGCACCGATCGTCAAGAGGGACCACATGCACACTCTGCAACCCTGATCCCCGGTGGCACCCATGTGCTCGTGGCAGACCTGGGCACGGATCAGTTGCGGCGTTACAAACTGGACGCCGCGGGCAGGCTGACGGCCACGGGCGTGGCCATCCAGCTTGCGGGCGGTGCGGGACCACGCCATGTGGCCGTGCAAGGCAACCTCTTGTACGTCACCTGTGAACTGGATCACCAACTGCGGGTCTTGCGCTGGGATGCGGCCACGGCCACGGCCACGGAGCTCCATGCCGTGCCCAGCACTCGCGTGCCTTCGCGGACAAGCGAGGAGCCCTTTGATGGTCACCTCTTGCTGATCAACGATGGGCGCACCTTGCTTGTGGCCGTCCGTGGCCCCGATGTGGTGGCCATCTTTGACGTTGACCCGGCCAACGAGGCTGCGGCGCCCCAATACCGAGGCAGCTTTGATGTGGGTCACTGGCCGCGGTACTTTGCCCTGATTGGTGACCGCCTGCACGTGGCCGCTGAACGTGGTCACACCGTGTATGCCTTTGCCCTTGCCGACATTCTTGCGCTCGGCGCCTCCAACGCGCCCCCAGACAACAAGGCCAGCCAGCTGCCGCGCACCTCCACCCCCATCACCAGTCCGGCCTGCGTCGTTGCCCGCTAGACTCGCCGCCGCGGGCAGCCTGTGTTGTTCCTGCTGTCACTATTGTTATGGATCGTTCGTGTGCCATCGAGTCTCAAGGGTAGCGACGGCAACAGCGCCACGCGCTTGAGCCGTCTGCCTCAAATGCATCTCGGCGCCTGTGGGCCAGAGTTGAGCCCTGGCATTACCAATGCTTTTTTTCTTTCTTTTTTTCCTCTCTCTCTCTCTCTCAATCAAACCACGAGCATCGAAATGACGCGCCATCAAGACCCAAACAGCTGGGATATCGCCCCGTCTCGAGCCAGCACCATGTCTCCCACCCCGCGGTGGTCCCTCCCGCTTGCACCATCCCTCACCCGCCACCCAACTTGCGATGACACTACCCCCCTTCACTTACGCCACAGCGTCAATCATGCCTCACCTTGCCCCCGCGCCCTTCCCATCTCACCCATGCCCACCTAATCCCGCGCATAACCCGGGATGCTCTCCACCCCGGGTCCCGCTCCATCCCAGATTCATCTCCATCTTTCCCCACAGCCCCCCTAACCCGCCTCCCCATAGCCCTGATGCTGCAATTGAAACTCTCTAAATCTCTCTCTCTCTCTCTCTAAATCTCAATCTCAATCTCTCTCTCTCTCTAAATCTCTCTCTCTAAATCTCTCTCTCTCTCTCTCTCTCTCTAAATCTCTCTCTCTAAATCTCTCTCTCTAAATCTCTCTCTAAATCTCTCTCTCTCTCTCTCTCTCTCTAAATCTCTCTCTCTAAATCTCTCTCTCTAAATCTCTCTCTAAATCTCTCTCTCTCTCTCTCTAAATCTCTCTCTCTAAATCTCTCTAAATCTCTCTCTCTAAATCTCTCTCTAAATCTCTCTCTCTCTCTCTCTAAATCTCTCTCTCTCTCTCTCTCTAAATCTCTCTCTCTAAATCTCTCTCTCTCTCTCTCTCTCTCTCTCTTCTCAAACCGACCAAACCAATTCATTCTCCCTCTCTCTCTCTCTCTCTAAATCTCTAAATCTCTCTCTCTCTCTAAATCTCTCTCTCTCTCTCTCTCTAAATCTCTCTCTCTCTTCAACACTTTGGCTCTCTTCACACACACAGACACACGGCGCACACACGCACACACACATCAGGAAGATGATGCAGCAGGGGTCGGTGGTGATGATGGCGGCGGCGCGTGGTGTTCGGGGAACGGGCGGCGTTGTGTCGGGGATCAAGTCCTGCACGGCTCTGCAGATGGGTGGAGTGCGGGTACGTCGTTTGTGGTTTGGGTTGGATTTTGCGGGTGGTCTTTGGCTATCGCGTCATGTTCTCGCTTGACCAGTCAGTCGCGCTCACTCGTCCGGGAACGGCTGCGGGCCCTGCTCGGTGCTTGAACTATGCTTTGCCACTGCTAGTGCATTCAATCCAATGCGCAGCCGGAAGGGTCAGTGCTTGCCCCGTGGCCTCTGGTCTCGGAATACAATTCACTGTCACACGAGCTCACACGTGCATGGCATGGCATTTGTCGCAGCCTCGCCGCCTCCCGCGAAGCCCAACATGTGTTTCGTCCCTCCACTGCCCCGGAAACTGGTGCACAGGTATGACGCCGAGCATAGGACTGCACGGCTGCTCGCCCGTCATTGGCCCCAACTGACTTGCTCGTGTAGTACTGTCTCTGCCTGCCGCTGCTCCTGCCTCTGCTCCTCGGCCTCACTTCTCGGCCTCACTCCCGTGCTTGCTCCGCATCACCCAGTTGACGGTGATCGCCAATGGTCTCGGATCAATCTTGCATGTGCAGTGCGAACCCCGCGCCAGTGTCTACGGTTGGTTGCCTCTTATAATTCTCAACTTTCGATCGAGATGTCGCGCACCTGCACTTGACAGCTCCTCAACCCTAACCTTGGTTCTCCTTCCCAACATCACCCCCCTTCAACAGCCCGCAGCGATAGCGTGGTCGCCCACTCGGATCGCATGCGCCTGACCACGGCCCTCGTGGGCAACCCCTTCTCCGCCATCTTGCGTAAAGTTGGCGGCGGTCCCCTGTATTACCAGTCTCTGTCGACCCGTGATGCTGCGGGCGATGCCCTGCTTAGCCCGCCCAACCTTGGTGACGTTGCCATCCTTGAGCTGGTACGATTCGATCCATGTTCCCCTCTCCCTCGCTCCCGCCACTCTTCGGCGCCTTCTTTCTTTGCTTTCTATCGCCTGTCATCACCCCATGGACGCCTTCCGATGGCCCTTTTTTTTTTTTTTTCCTTCTTCTTCTTCTTCTGTTTTTTTTTTTTTTTTGTCTCGTGCCAGGACGGAAAAGAGCAATATTTTGTTCGTCCCTCTGCCCCGTTGGCCTACAGTACTACCATCTCCGCAGCCATCAGCATGAAGTCTCTTGACCCCCGCTCAGGTTCTTCCTCGACCCCAAGCCCGCGCTGTGGCTTACAAGCAGTTCCTGTCCGCATCATCATCTGATCGTTGTATTTCCGTGTTAGGCTTGGGCACGCTTCGCGTCAGTGGCCATGGGCAACTGGCCATCACCGCCCCTGGTGGCATCTTCCGCCTCGAGCTCCAAGAAGGAGAAACCTACGTTGTCTCCAAAAAACACGTCATTGCTTGGCATGCCACCATGACGCCTGAGGTGTGTCATGGCTCGCAGTCGAACAACGCTGGTTCCCACTCTCCCCTGATCCCATGCCGCTCGTCGTCTCTCAAATCCCCTTTAGCTCGCCGAGGAAGACAAACCTCAAGCTGATGTCCCCGAGGTGTTGCCGTGGTGGCGCCGTGCCATGACCTCTTTCCAAAAGTGGTATCATCGCAATGTACGTCACGCGTGCCCCGATTCCTCTCTGCGCTTGGCTCGGCCTTGACCATCTGTGTGCTTCCCCGGCCTTTTTTTTTTTTTTAGGACATGTACAACTTGTACGGCCCTGGCGAATTTTTCCTGACCTCTCGCGCTGGCGAGCACGGCAAGGTTTTGAGTTCACTGGTCAACGCGGCCCCGACCTCTGAGCGCGTGGTAACTATCACTCAGGTCAGTCTTAAGCATCAGGGTCTCGAGTCCTGCGTCTATCAAACGACTCGTGCGCAACTTTTATTCACAAGCTTGCACCACTCGCCCTCACTTTGACTTTAGTCACCGCTCGTGTCCGAGGGCAATCACGCGCCGCCCGCCATCACAGCCACCCCTAACAAGCCTTAAGCCCAAACCGTAGTGTTCTTGTGTTCAAACTGCATCAGTGGGAGAGGTTTGAGCCCTCTTCAACCGCCTCTCGCTCCCTCAGCAAAAGTGTGAATCTCTCGAGCTTATGAGCTTTCTCAGACAATTGGAAACGAAGGAAATTGATGAGTGTGTGGTTTATATACCGGTTTTCGATTCATGTTCATCTTCTTGATCGGCTTTTCTTTTTCTTGTTCTTTTTTTCTTTCCTGTTTTGTTTCGCGTCAATGGCTGGTCACTTGTACTAAGGCCCAGCTGCGCACGTGCACTTGAGCGGCAGATATGGGCTCTGCTCATCCTTTGACATCTTGTTCTGAATAACACTGTTGCTCAGACCGGCTCGATCGTGCAAGCTGGTTCAGCCGAGCCGTGCCCTCTTCTGTCAATGTCAAGTAACCATGCTCTGTCAAAGTTGCCCTTATGGCTTCCGCCGTGCCAATAACATCGGATGGTAAGAGATGGCGCGCCATTTCGATCCCATACGACAAGTCGGTATGCCCATCATGAAGCTCGTGGTCATACAGCACTTCATCCTCCGTGACAATGCAACGCATCTAGTGGTCAATGGCAATAAGATGCTGACGCAAACGGCATGCGCAAATCGCCCTGCCCTGGCGCAACGTGCACGTACGTGTTTCAGTTGCACATTGGGCCAGTCCTTGGTCAGATGTGGCAGGTCGTGGTAGTGTGTGACCACCAAGGTTCGATTCGCCTTGACGTCATGAATGTGTTGCAACGCCGACCTAAAAAGCCGTGTTAGAACAGCAGTCAGCGCAACAATATCAAAAAAAAAAAAAAAAAAAAAAAAAAAAAAAAAAAAAAAAGTGGAGTGCCGGTCGCTGCGAACATGCATGAATCAAGAAAAAAACGGGCAAGAGACACGAACAAGGCAATGGCTAGGCCGTCGTGTGGGCTTGTGCCTCGACCAATCTCATCCAGAATAACCAGCGAATTGGATGTGCCTGAGACAAAGCAACATAAATCTCAAGTGAGAGGGTTGCAACGGCAACAATTGGCATGTCACTCGAAGTATGGTTCTACGAGCAAGGTGCCCAGTGAACGCGCAACCAACTCTTGCTTAGCACGGCAGCCAAGTCACTCATTTCCACCATGAAGGTACTCATGCCTTCCTCGAGGCTATCATCGGCGCCAATCTGCACAGGCCAGCAAGCAGCAGAGAGCAGAGCATCGTGAGGCTATCACTTCAAGGCCGGCCCCAAAGCCAGCAAGGGCACACTTACACGCGTGAAAATCTGGTCCACAATGCCATACGTCATAGAGTCTGCGGCCACAAAGCTACCCATCTGCCAGATTGTGTCCGTGAGCACACTGCATCATGAGTTGCGCTCCTGCCAAATCCTGCCACGTGGTATTCAACAACCCCATCTTGCTGCCGCATTGGTCCAACCGTCATGCTGCCAAGCGCCATTCAACTCCTCTCAACCACCACTTACTTGTGCCATGATGACCGCAAGGGCAACTTGGCGAAGGTAGGTGCTTTTGCCTCCCATGTTTGGCCCGGTCAGGATTTGTAAACCACCGGCAGGGATGTGGCAATCGTTGGGCGTGTAACGCATGCTGGCGGCTACACACAAGCCAGCTCCAAACTGAGCAACAGCAAGCGTAGAGCAGAGCATGCCAAAACCAACCAAGGCGATGCAGGCCACGTACCACCAATGGCTTCGACGACTGGGTGGCGGCCGCCTTCAATCTCCAGAATGGGCTTGGCCACGATCTTGGGTCGCACGTAGTCCTGGTGCCAGACACAACCAAACCAATGTCAAGTCTGGCCCATGTGGCACCCAGAAGAAGCCACGTGGCTTTCTTACCTGCTCGCGGGCTACCATCGCTAAAGCACAGGTCACATCAATGTCAGCCTGAAGGGACACGATGCGATTCACAAGCGCAATGTCTTCGACAACTCGCTCGTAAACAGCCAGCAGCTCAGCCATCTAGTCGAACGGCGAACGAAAGCAAACTTTGAGGAAGGCATGGATTGGTACCAAGAACAGCGTGGACATTCGGTAGCTATCTAACCTGCTTGAGCTCAAGGAGACTTTGGGACTGAGTAGCAAGCGCAGAATGCTTCAGCAATTCCTGCGTAGCCGAGCCTTTGGCTTTGGTTTTGGTCTGAAGTTTGCTGGAGCGCGCAATTAATTTGTGCGCCGTCATGAACCTATGTGTTTCAAGCACAGTCAATCATGAGAGGCATTCGGGTTTTTCGGGCCAATGTGATCTACTGGTCCGCTGCATTCAGCGAAGATGTGAAGGGGGCAAGGGAGAGGTTGGCAGCCAAAAGGCAAGAAACAAACTTTCTAGCGCCGACTCCGCTGATAATGAGCCCAGCTCCATCATCGTCCCAAAAGTCATGGGCCTGAAGATTTGCCGCTTTGGCTTGAAAGCTGCGAGACGAGTGTGCAGGCAACAAGGAAATGATAGAAGTGAGTATGGGATAGGCGCATCGGCCATACAATTGGCCATTCAGATCGAGAAAACCCGCAGGGGTAACGGACATAAGTTCGTCAATAATTCGCGTAGCTTTGCTCATATCAGTTTCGTATTGTCGGCGGGCGGCATCGACATCGGTTGAGTAACCCGGAGGGATCAAGTCCAGAGGACCCAAAAGGAGATTGTCGGGGCCAATGCACATTCCAAGCAAGGACTCAGCCAGCGGACTCTGCAACCGTTGGTGTAGGCACATGAATAAAACAACGCACATATGGCAGGCAACGAGCAAGCAAGATTGGAAGGGGAGGAAGACCTGTGACAGCACTACAAGGTTTGCTAGTAGATCGGACCTGCAAGATGGCTCGGCCTTCTTTCTGCCAAAGGTGGCTCGTCGGGTGATCAAAATCTTCAAGAGCTTCAATCAGCTACAAAGCAGTGAAGGCAGATGGCAAGTTGAGGAAGATGATTGTGGTCGGTCAACATCCATGGGATGAGGCTGTGGAAAAGCAGAGCTTTGCGGGCGCACTACCTTGCGCAGGCTGGCCAGCAGCTCGGCGAGATCGAGTACGCCCATGCGGCGTTTATCGTTGCTCTTGCGACTGAGATTGATGCGGGGATCGCGCAGCAGCTTGAGGCTGCCTTGCAAGGTAGATGCTGCACCGTTCTCGAGAGGCGCCTTGGTGAGCGTCGAAGCGAGGCGATGCGATGACTAGCAGTGGACCCCGTAGTAGTCGTGGTGTGGGTGCGTGGGAAGACAAGCAGGCCGTACCCAAACTGCTTTCATTGAACAGGAATTCGACAGCGTCATAGCGTTGTTCGATGGCTGCGGCGGTGGTGAGAGGTTGTTCGAGACGGCGCTGGAGTTCTTTATGGCCCATGCGTGTCACGGTGTTGCGGAGAAAGCTAAACAAGGAGTCACTTCGTCGCGCGGTAGCAAGTCGCTAAAGCCGAGTCAAGGGTGTGGAGCCAAACCGAACGAACAGAAGATAATCAGGCGGTGGCCAGGGCCAGCAGTCGAGGCGGAAGAAGCTTGTCGGTATTTTTGTTTTTTAAACAAAAAAAAAAAAAAAAAAAAAAGAAAAAAAAAAAAAAAGAGAGAGAAGAAAAAAAACAGATGGGGTTGCGCACCTCTCGGCCCTGAGTCAGTTCAAGAGCAAGACGTGTTGCTTTGGACATGTGAACAGTCTCCCGCTTTTGCAAGGGGTCGGAGCCGCTCTGAAGGATGCTGGGTAGGTCTCCGCCGTAGGCACGCTTGAGGTAGTTGAGCAGCACGGCGACGGCGCTGTTTTTGAGAGTGGCCAACTGGGTGTGAGCGATTGGGGGCGTGAGTTCTGGCGGGTGGGCGGGCATATGGGTGTTGTGACTGACTGGCGTTCCATCTCGTGAGCAAAAGGTGGGGTCAGTTTCTGAATCAGTTTGGCATCATCTTTGTACGTCAGGTAGGACATGGGAACGGCAGTGTAGGCGCTCGACTCGGAGGGCCTGCAGTGGGGAGGGGCAGACGGGACCGTAAAGGTTTGAACGTTGGGAGATGACCGAACCGGGGCTGAGGAATGAGGGTGCTGAGGCGGAGGTGCAAAGACAATTACCTAATTTGAGGAAACCAGCTGGTGCTAGGATCGATGTTAGGGTCGGAGCTGGGAGTGACGGTATTCAGAGGCCGCACCACCTCTAAAATGCGTGAGAGAGCGCGCGCGAGAGAGAGACAGAGAGATGGAGTATGGAGTGAGAGGAGGCCTTGGTAAAGTAAGGCGCCATGTGGGCTAAGGTTTGATTGCGGATCGAGTCGAGACAAGGGCAAAGTATTCTGGTTGGCAGGAAGCGCGCGGGGGGCAAGGGAGGGGGGAAGGTGTCTGATGGGAAGGAGAGAGAGGTTGACGACCTGTGTGGGTGGTGGGGATGAGGATTTCATCGGCAGGGTGGACGGCGAGGATGTCGTCGACATCGGATCGTGAGGTGAGGGCGGTTGTGATTTGGCCAGCCGTCAGATCGACGCGGGCCACGCCAATGAGATTGGAGTTTGGGTCAAAGGCGGTGGCCACTAGATGACATTCGCTGCAGTCGAGATCGGGGCTGCGGGTACCGGGCGAGATCACTCGTGTCACGACGCGTGGCACCACCTTGTCAGTTCTGCGCAACAGCATGGTCGGATGGGGAGACAAGAAAGCAACCGCATGAGAGGGGACGAGGGGAGAACATGCGGGTTGTGTCACATGGCAGAGGAGTAAATGCTGTGCATTCAGACGTTGCGCGAGGTGGGAGGGCGCAGGGGCGCACGCGGCGCAGGGGCAGATCTGGCTTGAGGAGAGGAAAAAAAAAACCAATCGTCGGGAGGGCAAGCTGGCTGCCACAAGGCCTCAAGGAGGGAGAGAGAGAAGCACGTACGCTTTCCTGGTTGCTTGCTCAACAATGACGATGCGAAAGTCAAAGGCTTCGGCGAGGGGCAGGAGCCAGTTCTCCAGGGCAGTGTGGGGAAAGCCGGCGAGCAAGTTGTTGGACACGCGGAGGGGCACACTCTGAGCCTGCAGTCGCTGGATATCATCCCCGGTAATCTCGAAAAAGCTGCCGTTCTGGCACAGGATGAGCTCGGCCGGGTACGCTTCACGCAAGCTGGCCGTGAGGTTGGCAATGTGGGACACGCGATGGCGGGCGGCGGTCTGCTTCAGCTCGGCCGCCTTGGTCGACATCTGCTGCGCCCGCTGTGAGATCAGACTCGTGCTCCGCACAGCCACCCCCCTCACCCCCCGCCACAGCCTCTGCCACGTCCCCCGTCGCACCGCCATCCCGCCCTTGATCAGCATCTACCAACAGCACACCCCCCCGGGATGTGTGTGTGAGAGAGAGAGACAGAGAGACGTTGAATGAGAGAGAGACAGAAGAGAGAGAGATAGAAGAGAGAGAGAGACAGAAGAGAGAGAGAGACAGAAGAGAGAGAGATAGAAGAGAGAGAGAGACAGAAGAGAGAGAGAGACAGAAGAGAGAGAGACAGAAGAGAGAGACAGATACAGACACACAGAGAGACAGAGAGAGACAGACAAAGAGACAGACAGAGAGACAGAGACAGACAGAGAGACGGACAAAGAGACAGACAGAAGAGCGATAAACCCAGGAGAGACAGCACAGAAGAGAGACAGTCACAGAGAGAGT